TTCCAAGGCTGCCTGGCAGAGCAAGACCCCATCTTTCTTCCCCCTCATACACCGAATCCATCCGAATGGCCCCATCTTTGAGCCCCCCCACAAAACACCCATGAATCTGCTTGCGAGAGCTAGCCAGCATTCCTTGGACCAATGGAGCCAGCATCAAAGCCTTCGCTCTTTTGTTCGGGACAGCAATGGAGCCTGTGAGGATTGGCGGCACCAGGCAGCAAAGAAAAGCACCTGTGCTGCTTGCTATTTCGAAAGACTAGATTGTTTCAGTGGTTCGTGAAAAATGCTGGTCCCAACCAAACCGTTCCTGGCACTGCTCCATCCCATCTTCACCAGGCTGCAAGCGCTTGCAGAGGACCAGAAAAAGCGCCTTGGCTGATTTGGATTGAACGTTTCCTGTTTGGTTCCGCCCAAAGGGGTGTTTCTTGAAGTTCTTTAGAGCTTCTCTAGCGTCGGGTTTTAACATCATCGGATCAATACTCCCAGTCGTGCATCCCGGAGGTTCCGACGCTTCCATCGGCCGGAGATCTCTTGGGCCGTTTGGGGTCGTAGGATGAAACCAGAGCTCTGCCGGTGACCCACTGGTCCCTCAAGACTATTGGAAGTCTGACAAAGAAAAGACCTGTTCACACACTATAAGAAAGCCCTAAGACCCTGGCAATAGGAACAAGACCTGTTCACCATCTATCTCAATCGGTGTGTTTCCACTATATCCTTTCATATCCTTTCATCAATAGTCTCTTCCCTACTGCCCATGGGATCATGCCCCGATCTCCTTGGTGACGAATGGAAGAGACAGCAGCGGTAGGGACACCCGAGATGTTCATGAGCCATGTTGAGAGAGTTGCGGTAGGGTGAAACGTCCCCGAAGAAGGCTGTCACTGTAACAAGGGAAGGGTTCACTATGATGTACTCGCGAAGTTCTTGTATAGTAAAGCATAGCATACCTTAATCAGGTTTTTTCTGCAGCTTCTCAAGGTTTTCCCTTGGGCCAATCTGCTGCTTTGGCCCAACCAAGGCAGCTACAAGCTCTCTCCAGCAAGCAAAAGCGGTCCTTGTCCAAGGCAGACCTGCCGGGCTTGGACACAGGATGACACAGGATTCTCACTCTGACATGGGATGCCACGGTTGACGTGTGGCGTCACTCCTTCAATCCCTTGGGACTGTCTGAACGCGCACCCCAGGGTCTCTGCTGCTCAGCTCCAGGTATGCTGACCCATCCCATTGGTCAGCTCTGAGTCTTGGCCAGGCGAAAGCCCTGCTTCAAGAAAAGCAAGGGAAGAACAAGGACTTGAGCAAGCAGGCTGGTTCAAATATGTTCAAATGCCCATTTCACGGAGCTTCAGAGCTATGGTGCTGCGTGCTGGTGTAGATATTGGACATTCAGATTAGCAGAGCCGCGACGAAGTTCGGACTTCCAAAAAAACACGAAGACTACGGAAGCTCGAAGCACATAGTTTTGGTCCATGTCCTGAACGGGATTGTGACTTCGAAGGCCCCCTGACTTTGAGACACTGGAATTGCATTTGAGACACTGGCTGTATCCCAGTAGACCAGCAACAGTCGGTCGAAGATGATCCCCACCATTGGGAAAGGCCAACAATCATAATACATACCATCATCATGCACTGTTACTGCTACTGGTCATGGGATATGGGACACATATACCAGATATCATATATATATATATATATAAATGTAGAATATCAAACCAACTGGCTTGTTACTAGCCAACTGGCCATGCACTGACATACCCAACCGTTCGCTGCGGTCGACCTGGTGCTCGCCACCAAAGCAGCTGCTCGACCTGGTCGGACTCGGGGCGACCTCGCTTCGAGCCCGGGGTGAACCGGCTGAACCAACCCAAGGGATACAAGGGGGGGTTGGAGTCGGTTGGAGTCGGTTGGAGTCGGTTGGAGTTGGTGAAACCAGATCTTTGCAACCGAAGAAAGCACCCAAAGTGGCGAAAAGTCATCACAAAACCTGGTGTTCAGCTTTGGTCGCTGGACGCAATCGGAGGTGTCCCAGCTGCAATCGGAGAAGGCTGTGGCGGTGCGCGTGTGCTTCGGCGGCATGCGGCCAGAGAGGCAGATCTTCGCCGGAATCCGCTGGCCGCCCCGGCCCCCAGGCGCTGGTCATAGTAATGGACAGTAACTCAAAGCCCTGGGCCCAAACACATCACCTGCAAGTGGAAAGCCCACCACCTCTTGGGTCTTCGGAACTCCGAAAAAGAGGGCCCATGGCATAGCCCACGGGCTGGCCCATGCCAGTCCGAATCCTTTTTGAAGGCAAGAAGTGACGTTGTTAACCCAATGACCTTGTGGCCGGTCTGTTCGATCGAGTGCTCTGTTCGATGACGACGGAAGACTCCGATTTGACTGATTTGATGAAGCTGTTTGACGAAGCTGTTTAGTGGCCAGAGGAGTTTGCTCAAAATTCCAGGCGTCCGAGAGATGGTCAACAAAGCTTTATCACAGATTCTAGGATAGGTCTCTGAAAAGCAACATCATGCATGTGCAATCCTGATGATATGTATACACTGGGGTGCCGAAAGTTGCGCTTCTTGACTTCTAAAACGGGAGAAACCCTTTCCCCGTAGAATCCTACGTGCAACATGTCGACACCTAAGTTGCGGTCAGATTTCCACACCTGAAAGCCTTATAAGTATTATAGACTTAAACGGGTGTGGAAATCTGACCGCGCTGTACCTGCCAGGCAAAATGGACGTGTCAATCCGATCCGCTGTAGACCGTTAGTGTCATGTCGGAACAGAGTAAGAAGCGTAAACTTTAGGGTTCTTGAAGGGTGCCGTTTGTGTTTTTCAGAAGGTGCTGAACATGTACATGTATAAGTATGTATGATAATACACTATTAGTTCTTAACTATATAGCAGGACAACGTTTATGTCAAAGCTAATAACATGTCTCATTATTGGTTTTAAACACAAGGCTATTACCTAGTAACAACGCAGGGTGCCTTTTGTGTTTTTCAGAAGGTGCTGAACATGTACATGTATAAGTATGTATGATAATACAATATTAGTTGTTAACTATATAGCGGGACAACGTTTATGTCGAAGCTAATAACATGTCTCAATATTGGTTTTAAACACAAGGCTAATACCTAGTAACAACGCACTGGGGTGCCGAAAGTTGCGCTTCTTGACTTCTAAAACGGGAGAAACCCTTTCCCCGTAGAATCCTACGTGCAACATGTCGACACCTAAGTTGCGGTCAGATTTCCACACCTGAAAGCCTTATAAGTATTATAGACTTAAACGGGTGTGGAAATCTGACCGCGCTGTACCTGCCAGGCAAAATGGACGTGCCAATCCGATCCGCTGTAGACCGTTAGTGTCATGTTGGAACAGAGTAAGAAGCGTAAACTTTAGGGTTCTTGAAGTATATATGCACTGTATACAGTATATATATAATATCATGTAACTCTATCTCTATCTATATATGTATACGTATCCGACCTCACATGGATTAGACGAAGTGTTGTTTGCCCACTCTTTCACTTATATAAGGTATATGTAATGTCGGCAGTTCGCTGCGGTCGGCGATATGGGATGCCTTCACATCGGAGAGAAGAGAGAGAGAGAGAGAGAGAGAGAGAAGAGAGAGAGAGAGAGAGAGAGAGAGAGAGAGGGAGGGGGGGGGGGGGGGGGGGGGGGAGGGAGACTGGGGCGAGCAACCTGATGTTGTCCTCTCCAAATCAGGGGGCCGATCACCGCCTAAGCCGCTTTGGCCAGCCACACGGCTAGCTACTCAAGGTGTGAAGAAAACAAGCGCTTCTTTGAGTTGCGCTTGGCCGAATGCTCCGCTGGAGACCCAAGCGGAGCCGCGGTGTATGGGGTGGGGGGGGGAGGCAACTTGCCTAGCTGTGCCATTTGGCTGGAGCAAGAAGCCGTTCCCAGGTCGTCTCCGTAGAGACCGAGAGACGGGTCATTCTCTTTGCGATCTGCTTTGCCCATGAGCAGGGAGGGTTTGACCTCGATGTTGACGTGGTGTAGGAAAGGGGTTGAGCTTGGTCTCACGAGCGATGCTGGTCGCTGTTGGGCTGTTTGACCGCTAAAAACAGGTGCAACGGAGCCGGCGCAACTTGTTTTTTTCTTACACCACTAGAACCCTGCACCATCCCAGTACTAGGACAAGGGTATACACGACAGTTCACAAGTCTTCATTCCCGGAGCGTCTGCACTGGACAGCGTGTTGAACTCTATCCAACTCACCTGGATTCCGGGCCCGAAATCGGAATCAAGAGAACTCGAGTGTAGGGACTGACTACTTCGTGTAGAACGGTTATCCAAGATGATCAAGATGTCTTTCGCAAAGACTCAGAACTCTCAGAGAACTCTCCGAGAACCAGTCATCGTGGCGCCGGTCCGAGCGGATCATCCGTGTCGTCCTCTCCAGGCCGCCACTTCGTGGGAACACCCGGATGCGTGGGGAGATGACTGGTGAACCCGTTTTCGACGCAACAGCGACCGATCGGCAGCTCTCTGAAAGAGCGTGGGGTGGTAGGGTGGGTGAAGAAGCAGCGAACTGGGTTTTAGTGGGAAAAAAGACCATGACGTCATGATGGAATCATGGTCTTTGATCAACAGCATGACCACTTCACATGTGAGCAGGGTAGGAGTTTGGGAAGATGAAGTCAACTGATCCGTTCAGCTTCGATCCCGAGGCGGCCATCCCGCATCGGTCGTCTTTGATCTTGGCCAGAAGAACGGGGGACATAGGCTACACTCCCTTAAAGGTCGACTGGTGCTTAGTAAGGGATGAGGGAAGGACTTCCCACTGTAGTCAGATACCTTCAACATCCTTCAACTTCAGGTCCTTTCCGATCCCAAAATCCTTGGTTTGTGACCACCACCCATCTGTTTGGGCTGCCAGCTGCAGTGACCACCACGCTCCGGTGGTCACGGCCCACCCGTCGCGGAGGCCCCAAGTGTGGCGTTTGGGGGTCTCAGTGTGGGACGGACGGACGGACCATGGATGGGCGGCATATCATATGAATGATTATGATTTTTCTGGACGATGCGACCCATCTCAGAGCTTGGGGAAGATGCACAAGTTCTCCTGAAGATTTTGGCGACCTCTTTGTGGATCTTGCTTGGTGGCAGAGAATAGGCAGCTTCGTCTTCGCCCAGCAAATCCGATTTCTGAGGTGACTTCAGTCCTGATATGTGCGGAGACTGAGCGATTTGGTGGGTCGAACGATTTGGTTGGTTCTTCCCTGGAAGATGTTGGATTCATTTCCTTCGCCAGAACGGCCCTGCCGGCGGCCGCCCTGCGGCCAGCTGTCAGGAAGGAAGAATATGAAGTCGACCGACCCCCAAATGAGCAAGCCAAAGCAAGAGATCAAGTTCAAACCAAGCTCAAATGGGCTATAGAAGCTATGGGAGTTACGCATGTCTCTTTTTCCATGAGAGACACCTGCGGATCGGTCGGGTACACCGTGCAGGTTTCCCGAAGCGAAGCCAATTCCTTTGTTCGAACGACGGTCTCTGAAATGGGGCGGCTTGGACCTTCCAAAAACCAAGCTGACCTGAGCCTGGAGATGATGGCCGATGGACGACGGACCCCATCCTCCAGGCCCGACGCCTGTGGACCGAGTTTCGGAGGCGGGAGCTACTGGAGCGGCACGAGGAGCATGAGCGGCAGCTGCGGCAGCTGCGAGGATGAGGTCCCGGGGCGAACCCGTCCGCAACGGTGGGGCGGTGGGGCGGTGGGGTGGTGGTATCTGTGTGGGTCATGGCATCTGGAGCCCCAAATCCTGGTGAGTTGACATCTCTTATATAAAGGAATCGGTTCAATTTCGGTCAACCAGGCCAGGGTTTTGATCCACTGCCATATCTGTGTGGGTTGAAGAGTAGTGGGGCTCCTTTGTGGAAAAACTCCGAGTCTTTCGTGGCCTTGAGAGGTCATGGCGGGGTTCAAAGAGTACCATGTCCAGGAAACACAGCAGGGGTTCTTGGATATTTCCAGACATGCGGGTGTGTTTCAAGATAGGGAGATCTCCCAGTTCGGACAATAGACCAGTCTACCCAGCCAGGAGAGAGGGGGTCTCCCAGTGCTTTGAAGTCACTGCACTCCCTCGACAGCCACGGGTAGCCCGTCGTGGCTTCGTTGACGTCCCCACGAATTCAGTGCTGGGTGTGGGGCCCGCGACTGCCAGGCTTGCGAGCGTGCGAATCAGTGAATTTGCAAGGAAGTTATTTGCGAATCCTCTAAAGAGGGTGTCAACACGTTGTCAATTTGACAACTTCTGTTGTTCTTTCACACAATCTGTTTTCGGGTACTTTCACCTTAGAGGATTGAAGCTTGTGATTTTTTCATGCATGCAAACACCAGGTGCTGTGGTTCTGCACCTTCAAACGATGAAGATATTCGAACACCAATCGAAGACCTGTTCTTCTCGGAGCATGTCTCTTTTTTTTTCTCTGCAGTTGCAGCCACAGAACCCACGGTGCCCTATTTTTTACCCAAGCTTTGTGGTGCGACGTCCATTCAGAGATACCAGAGAAAGGTGGAAGGTTTTGAGATCGCTACCTTTGTTTTTTCCATTCAGTACTGTAGAGCCAAGTTTTGGCAATCCTTCACAGAGCTAGGAAAACCACGAAACCATCGCACCCCACAATTCCAACATATTCCAGTCAAAAGTCGCATCTAATTCGCTCGAGCAGAAAGTGGTCACTTTGCATGGTGTTAATGGAATGACCGCAGAAACTGGTCGCGGCAAAAAGCGACCGCACGCTGGGGACACTGCTGATGACAGCAGAGAGTAACCATTCCAGACGCCCAGTTTTGTTTGACAAAGCTTCCTTGATAGAGGGTGATCTTGACATCTGAAGGAGGGATCAAACTAGAAGGGTCCTGTCGACCTTTCTTTGCTTTGGGCCAATCGTTATGGAAGCTGCTTTATTCAAAAGGTGCATGTGAGCGCACGGAAGACTTGCATCGAGAACAGGCTTTGAGGCAGGTGTTGCGTCTTCGCTCCAGAGCCGTGAATCACCTTGAATGCCGTCCGACACAGAGGCCTTTGAATGCCGTGATTCACGGAAGCATACGTACAAATGGATGTCATAGGGTTCTTTTGGGGGGGCTAGGATACATGCTGGCTAGACTCTACGCATCTCTACACCCATGACATGAATCAATACCTCTCGCTCATCTCAGCCGTCTCGGACACCAAGCATGGGGCGACTGACACGGACCGAGCCGGCCACCGGCCCGTGGAGGCCGCTTGAGTGGCTCCAACAAGAGGGCTATGGTGCAAGGTTTTTGTTTGAATGGTTGACTATACGTTGTGTGGATCAACACATGTGTATTCCCGTTGAGGTGAAGGAATCACCTTTTTCGGTGAGATGATGACTGTGTGCTTTCTTCGAAAGAACGATCTCGTCCGTCCTTCTGTCAAATTGGAAGATTTGGTTGAAGCTTGAAAAACCTTCTCCCCGTGATGCAATTGGAATTGTATAAAATATGTAGGATGACGACTATATATACCTACCCAACCGTTCAAGCCTGACCTACCCGGAGCTTTTCGGTGACACGTGATGCGGGCAGAGAGGACCTTTGGAGCTCCAATTGGGAGGAGTTTTCGCTTCCTGTTGCGGGAGGCCTGACGCTCTGAACTCTAAATAAGTGGACGCTTTCTGAGATGCCAGGCGGAGTGGCAACATGGATGGCCTTTCACTATTGGTTATATATATAGAGTTGATATAATAGAGGGGATACCTCCGGTCGTGAACAAGACATGCGTATATACATGGTACCAAGTCAACCCCCTTTATTCTTCCCAAAATGACATCAGTGTGTGACACGGAAACGGGAGCGACGAATGCGGAAGACATCGGCTGCAGGCGTCTTCGACAGCTCTTTCCGGTGTTGGATCCAAGCCGTTGAGATGGTTCTCAACTCTCAACCAAGGTTTACGTTGGACAGGGACAGGTGCTTCTCATATACAGTGCTTAAGTTCGTGGTCTCAATCATGGGGAGACGGGACGTGCGCACCGTTGGGGTCGGGACCCGGTGTGTGGTGTCCGGTGTCCGCCCAGTCTGAGAGTTTGCAGGTAGATTGCCAAGTACTGTAGATCCAAGATGGCTGCAATGGCGATGTGGCTGACTTTGGGCCTTGCAGGGGCCGTACGCCACACAGACCATGGCGCGACTCAGCTTTTCTCTGGCGAGGACGTTGACTGTTCTCGGCTGAAGCCAGCTCCGGCTTCAGAGCAGGCTTGGAAGGCACCAAAGTATGACTACCAGATGGGCGACGTTTGGTCCACCCATTTCCAACCGGAAAACTGCTCGAACTACTTCATCTACTATCCAAGGAAATCGGGCTACGTGGTGATGCAACAACCTCCTGATTGGATGAATTGGAATACTTGCCTTCTTGAGGCCCTTTGGTATGACCGACCGGCGAAGTTGTGCGACCACTCGAAAGATGGCAGCTTCGTGACAACTACATTGCCTGATATGTGTAAAGAAGAACTGTGCAACTTGGCAAAGACAGGTGGTTGGAAGGCTGGACTGTTCAAACAAAAGCCTGCCAAGAAGAGGCCCTGGCATGCCCGAATGCCTGGGGCCAGAGAAAGCATTGGCTATGAAGATGCCTTCGAGTCACGCTGTTTGCATGGACAACTTCAGGACCTGTTCCCAAGCTTCCATGAGTTTGCGAGGCGCTACGACCTGATCACACCTGAACATCAGACCTTCAACAAGAAGGCCTGTGGATGCCCGACTGCAGACAATTGCTGAGCCAAGAAAGGGAGTCTTTTGCCTTGTCGCAAAGGGTCTTGTGGGCGGTTGATGAAGACTCCCCATTTATTTAGAGGTCAGAACCAACATATCAAGCGTTATTTGCACAAGACTAGTCCGCCCGCCCGCCTGGCACTCATTTTTGATGCACTTGGGGGCCATGGGGCCGGGTGTGATAAGGGCAACCTGAAGAGTTGGCCACATAGATCAGAGGCCAGAGCGAGTTGAGGGATTTGGCCGGTTGGGTTGAGTTCTTCTTGGGCTTTTGCAGTGAATGCACTGAATGCAGGCATTGCTCCAGAGCAGGGCGCAAATGGATGGACGGCGGAACTGGCAGAAAAGGGGATGTGGCGAAGACAGTGCTGAGAGCGCCAGTTCTCAAAGTGCTGAACTGTTTTGCTCCCTTGGCTGGCCTCAAATTGTCTTGAACGGGAGTTGACACACTTCACTTGCAAATCACGTACGGCTTGCTAGCAGGGCTGCTTTCTGGGTTCCCACCATCTTCGGCTGCTAGGAGTGCTGCATGCCTCTTGCAGTTCACACACACACACACACTGACCAGTCAGTAGCTGCCACTGGCTCACCGCATCCAACGGTACCACGTCGAAGTCCTAAGACAGTGACTAACTGTTTAACTATCTGGAGAGTCCCAATATATACCTGGAACCCTGTTTTGACCCCTGTTTTGATAGGAAGTTTGGCCATATTTTGGGTGGTTGGTGGTCCAAAATAGAGGTCATTCAGGTTCTAGGTATATATATTTGTATGTATTATCTATAGCTCAAACTGATAAAGACATGCAAAAGACTACAATCCTGGTGTTTGTCATGTAACCAATCTCTCTACAAATCTTGGCGTCTCGCCTTCTAAGGCAGCCACTGCACAGCACGAGGGAGCCTCCTCACGACACTACACACACTCAAAAGGAAGCCATGGCCCAAGCCTAAGTTTAAGCCTCTTCTCCTTCCTCAATAACTCCCTGCAAGCACAAAAGGTAGGCCACTCAAGGATCGACAAATCGCAGAACAAATACATACACTACATGTATTACTAGGCCAGGCCTAGGCCTGGAAAAGCTCTGTAGATATTTGGCGACCCGTAAATACAAGAGCTTCAGGCCCATTGACACTGCACTAGTCCGACACTTCCACAGCCTTGGTCCGTCCGCCTGCGGTCATGGTCCAGCGCTTAGTGCTGAACCGCGGTCCGGCCACCGGCGGGCTGGTTCCGCAGGTTCCAAGAGTCCCGAGACGGAAACATGTGGCGAACCATGATGAGAAAGCGAACCATGTAGGATTCGTGAGGAACGCCATTGGGTCTGGAAAACTAGGAGAACCAGAGGCTTGAGCTGGCAAGTTTCTCCGCACAAAGGGAAGGACCAAAGCAGAGTTCTGGGATCAACACGGTTTTCCACTGAGGATCATCCTCCACTAGAACAAGTCACACCTGGATATTGGTTTCAGAGGATTCTCGTTTATTTTTTTGAGAAGACTTCTCGATGAGCCGTGCACGTGCTTGCGCACGTGCTCCCACACATATACAGTATATGAGCTGTAAATAACTACTGTTTTGAGTACTATATGATACCACCCAAAACAAAGTTTACCTCCAGATTTCGTTGATAGGTGCTTTAAGCATATGTTCAGGTGCACAGGTGTGATCTGCCCGTGGCGTCCCATCTCCCCTCTTCTGGGCGTGGGAGGGTCCCGGAAGCCTTCTCTGGATGACTCCATTGGAGACTTTTTAGGAGTTTTGCTGCCTCCAGAGTGCGGCATCGCTGCCTCAAGAGGGGGTTTGTTTCACTTCCTTTGGCCAGGAAACTTTCCAGGTGAACTTTCCAGCTGGTGTGTTTTCCTTTTTTGGTGCTTGTTCATTTTCAATGCACACCCATCCAAAGGACCCAAGCAGGATTACAATCACATCTCACGCTGATCACAAGACCCTCGGGAGTACGTTGTGTGACGCACCTCGTGTCGAACGTTGGAGTGGGTGTTGAAGATTCATGTCAAAGCATCCAACCAGCTCCAAGACGTTCAATTCAAGCCAACTCCAAGATTCCAAGATATTAAGATGTTTACACCCACTTGGAGATGTTTGAGAAGTTCAGAGTTCCACTCCAAGTGGTTCTTTTTTGAAGAATCTTGGGTGGTAGACCTGGTAGACTGAACTTCTGCCCACGAGGCCAAGTCCGACGACCTCAACACCGATTGGCAGCGCAGTGCCTTTCGCCTCAGTCTCCGGTCTCCGTCGGGGCGTTCGCGCCGTCGTGTTGGCGGCAAGGCGACCGCTGAGTCCCTGGGTCTCCAGAACTGGGTCCATTGGGTCCAGAAAGAATTCTTCCTCGCTGGGGAGGAGGCTTCTTTCGATTGGTCAAAGTCCATATAACTTTCGTTCATACTTTCTTCTATATATCATTTTGTTCAATTCTATCATATCATATCCCCTTTTCCGAGAAGCTCTGATAATTCCCTGACTTTTTGGATGGCTGCCTATGATCCGATAAAGTATGAAGCCTGCATTGGAACAACACTTTGGGATCTTTTCAATTGAAGATTTCTGGATGAACTCCGATTCGGAACACCGAATGATTGATATAATTCAGATCATACGCTGCCTATTCATCCTGGTGGTCGGCTCGTTGCATCCCCAAAACAAGTCCTGACTCCGACTCGTCGATCCACGCAGGTTGACCCCTAGGATTCGAGCAACCGTTTTCCAAACGATTTTAGACGACTGAGAACCGGGTGAACCTTTCGAACTGAAAGGTTTTTCACTGAAGGCTCTTTCTTTCACCGAGCCCCTTGGCCCTCTTCTCCCCCCTGGGGCCGCCGGTGAGGGTCGAAAGCACGACCAGGGCGTCGACAGTCAGTCGGTGCGCACTCCGTTGAGGCTGGGGACTTCAACTGTGTGGTGTGCCAGCGGAAGCGTTTGCCGGCCTCGGAGTTCTCCAAGAAGCAGGCGGAGCCGGACAGATCCACCTGCAGTGCTGTTTTTCGGTTGCGAGGTGGGGGAGGTGGAGAGGTGGGGGTGGACGGTGATGTGAGTTGTTGGGTGCATAACTTGGTGTGGGGAGACGTGGAGACCAGCGATTTCAACTGCGAGATGTGAGACTTGTGGGATTCTCAACTCCCAAAGATCAAGTCTAGACTCTAGACTCCTTTGCAATGAATCCTGCCCAGCTTGCGGTTTCGATGCAGGAAATACCAGCGAATCATTAGGTACCTGTTTCTCTCTTGAGGTCAGGCAAGACTTCCTGACTTTGTGTTGAAGTCCCTTGGCATTTCTTGAGGGTTTTTCTCGAGCCCTGACTTCCCACCCCGGGAAACAAACCTTCGAACCCACTGATCCTTAAGGTGTTTGGCAGGAATTTGCCGCTGAATGCGCTTCAGGCGAGCAAGCCAAACCAGGTTGAGGTAGAGGGCAAAGGGGCGCTTCATCCCCCCAATGCAGCCCAATGCAGCCCTTTTCTTTTTGTGCTCCCCCCCAAATACAACGAAATACCTTCGGGGTTCTCTCTGTCGGCGGGCTGCCAGAAACAGGTCGAGAAGGCTTTGGAATCCTTGAGGAGTATTGCTGACCAGGAGAACAGGGGCCGGAGGACTGGAATCATCCGGCTTTTGCAATGCCAGACTTTGAGTTGGGTGATTTTGAAGCGAAAGCAATGAGAAATCGGATCTGTCTATAGATCGAAAAAAGGGCCCTTTTGAGAGGATAGAGTGGAGTATGGTTTTAATGGTTTTCTAATTTTGAAGTGGTGCAAGGGTTTAGGCCATCTCCGGCATCATCTTGATGTTTCTTACCAGTCCCCGCACTGTGGAACAAGCAGGCAGGTGTTTGGCTGGATTGCTGATGATTGCAGTAGATACAACTGGGACACGCTTGCCTTTTGTATTGATTGTATGGAAGACCTTCGACCAACACAGCCATTACGGTTTGCCCAACGCCCTAAACCACGTACGGTTTGCACCTTTTTTTCCCGGCTATGTCAGGCGTTAAATTGCAACATCAGCCCAAGGGGACTGATGAATAACATGCTGGCATGTGCTGGCTATTGCATCACAAGTAGCATGTGCTTGCAGACCGCACATCGTGCGGCGCCACTGATTCTGGTATGCGGCACATGTGGCTATATATCGTCTACGGAACAAAAAACCGAACAGGAAGAATTCTCTTGTTTTTTTCCTTAAGAGGAAGCTACTAGGTGGAGGCCATCGCTAGTAGGTGGAGGCCATCACTAGGTCCCCCAACAGAGGTTGAAGAAGCCGAGTTCCACTATCTCGGATCCCAGTTCGGTACCCTGGTAGTGTCCTTTTTCAGGTCGCAAACAACTTCTTCTCTTGTCCCTTTTCCATGGGACAGGATGAGGTTCGACCGGACCATCCGTCAGGACATCCGAACTGGACCTGAAATCCAACAGGTGACGCATCTCTCTGGGGCGCGGCCCTCGGCAGCGGCAAAGCACAAGGGATGAGGGCGGTTCGGGCGGGATTTGGGACTCTCATAGGCTCGAATTTGGGGGACCCTCACAACTAAGGGGGTTTTGGAGCCACCAACATGAACCGCAGTTGCTTCGGGTCCACCGGGTACACCGCTTACACGGCTCCGAAAACCGCACCGGTCACGAGCCAGGTGTGTAAGAGGTGCACCGAGGAGAGAGCCGGAGACTCAGACGGTGGACGAAGGCGATGGACCAAGGCGAAGGCGATGGACGGTGTACCGTTGGGACTGTTGATGACTCTGCCCAAGGAACACCAAGGAACATGAGCTTGTCGTTCACTATATATTAGATATATTATGATATATTAGCTCTCTGAAGTTCATTTGGAAGATCATGGATTCTCATGTTACTATTGGCAAGAACATGTCCGACGGTCCGCGCATGACTTCACTTGCTTTGCGCTCGCATTTTTTTTTGCATCCCTTTGCGTCGTGTTCGCCTGTTGCCACACAGCAGCGCACTTCAACGCCGCATTGCCAAACATACTCGCCAGATTACTGCCAGGTCAAGGTTACCGGTGTGCAATTGGGAATGCATCTGGAAACCATTCGATCCTTTTGAAATAGCCAAGACCCTTCAAAGTACCCCTTTCCAGAAAAGACAGGAAAACAATCAGAAAAAAAAGACACACTTAGGCTGAGTGCTCCATGGAGCTGCACTTCAGAGATGCGCGGTGAGCGTTAGCCCTTTTTGTTACTGCATTAGCCGAAAGCATTAGCACTTTACTGCAAAACAACGAATGAGACAGCGTTGTGCAATACTTAGATTCACAGAAGTAGAATTAAACATGCAGGTACAGGTGGATGATCAGTCCACCCTTCCCTCGTCATACCGTAGCTTCGTTGCGTACGGTGGGTATGACGAGCCGTACGCGCCTGCAGCAAGCTGTACAACGAGTGAGTGGTATTGGTTAAGAGGAATAGTATTAGTGCCCCTGGAAGCGGGGGTTGACACACACAGAAAGCCGTATCGGCGCAGTTAGATAGGGCGTGTGGGTGTGTGGTGTACAACTGCAATCAGAACATGCAATGTAGCTCAACTCAATCAACAATGTAAATCTTTTTCCGACCTCGAGACTGCAACGCTCCAGCGCAATGTGCTGGTGAATGACCTGTTGTCACATAAAGCTGAACTAATGCTTGGGCGGAGGTGGATGCGAGTTCTGGGGGAAATGTGTATTGTTGTAAGGTGTGGTGTCGTGACTGTAGACCAAGCGGTAGCTTCCTACGGATTGGATATCTCGAATTTGCCAGGGGTGGCTTGGGAGTTGAAAGGTGACTGTGCGTGTTTGTGGGTTGATGAGGAAGCCAGGGAGATGGTCATCCTCTACTCTTTCAATTTCTACGGGGTGTCCGTACAGATCGGGAAGTGCAAGTGTTGCAATGGGTGTGGAGTGCAAGAGAATGTCATTGAGTAGGATGTATCGGTTGTCAACGTATCTGGTGTTGAAAAGGTGGAGACTGGGTTGTTGTAGGAAGGTGTGGTAAGTGTCACGCCAGGCGTGTTCAATGAGTGTAATGGCGACATTGCAAAGAGCAGGGGAGAGTTGGCTGCCCATGCCTGCACCTTGGATTTGTTGGTAGTAGGTGTGACATGCTTGAAAGATACAAGAGTGTAACGCTTGTTGCACGAAGAGAGGAATGTGAGTGGTGTCAAGGGTACGTTGGTGGGGATGATGAATGTAGTGTCGGCCAATGTGAGAGTGCTGAATGGGGTTGCCGGTGGAATGAATTTCAATGGTAAGGGTGGTGGTGGTGTGTTGCATTTGCCAGCGCTTGCAGAGGCTAATGACCGCGTCAACTAGGCGTTGCTGTGGTACACTGTTGAAGAAGCCGACGAGGTCGTCGTTGATGGCTGCGAAATGTATGTCGAGTGGTGTGTGGGTGAAGTGATGGTGCAGTTGGTGCCATAGGCTGGGTATGGACAGTTGTCCTGGGTGTTGGGGCAGGAGTTGTAGAAGGATAATGTCCAAGGCTTTCGAAGTGGCCCGGAGTAGAGTGCCTGCAATGGAACGAAAGTAGCTGATGACAGTTCGGCCTTTTTTCCAGGATTTCTTCTGCTTGGGGAAGACGACTCCATGAGGGGTGTGGAAGTGCTTGCGAAATCCCCAAGGGTAGGCTGTTCGTAAGTGGGTGGAAAAGGAAGTGGTGAGGAGGGATTGGAGCTGGTCATGGGTCAAGTGCGGGAGTGGTTTGAAAAGTTGTGGGGTGTTCCATGTGGTAAGACAACCGTAGAAATAGTGTTGAGGCTGCAGTTTGTGGTTTGCGTGATGCAGAAGAAATTTGTCAGTGAGGAATTGTTGAAGCTGAGTGATGTTGCGAGATGTGAAGCGAGGTGTGTGGCGGAGGCTGTCGATGTCTTCTCGCCATTGATGTTGTAGAAAGGGTTTGCTGTGTTGGTGTAAATTGGTCGGGAGTCCATGGTGACGGAGCCATTGGGTGAGTGTAGATGTGAAGCGGTGAAAATAACTGAGTTTTGGTAGGGAAAAATGGAGAAAAAGTTGCAAATGAGTGGGGAGTCGAAGGTCCTGGAGTGTGAGTACATAATGTCCGTCATAGAGAGGGGTGTTTTTTCTGGATCGCGGAGAAGGGTCCCGTGCATGTGGTGACAGTTGCATGGTATGTAGCGGTGGGTTGAGATGAGAAGTTCAGAAGTGGTCCTCCCATTGTTTGGAACGGAGGGTTTTGTGTGCTGCCTCACGAATGCGGCCGGTGGGTGGAAGGGAAGGACCGTGGTGGTGGTGGTGGTGGTGGTGGTTGTTTTGGTGTCGGATGTCCGACTGCGGAGGCCATGGTTCAGTGTCGCGTTGTTTCAGGTGGTGTGTGGCGTTGAATGGGAACCGTGAGGGGTTTGGTTTTGGGAATGGTAAGGTTGCGCAAGGTGAGTGCTGAGTTGTGTCGCGTTGAAAGACTCTGGATCCATCCGGTTCTTCGAGGCTAGCTGCCATTCTTCGGAAAGCATCGCTTTCAAGGTGGGTGGGTGTATTTGCCGCTGCAAATGGCCGTGGCGGTTTCGAAGGAGGAACGTGTATGTTTGCTGAGTTCTCGGAGAACTGTTGGTGCATGTAGGCGTTGAGAGGTGTGTAGGTTTGGTTGGGAGATGGTACGTTGTCTGCGGCGAAGTCGCTGAAATAGCCGTCGTAGGTGTCGTGGTGAGAGAGGTAAATGGTGCTGTAGTGATGGAGTGTTTGTTGGGAATGCCAGTAGCGCAGAGAAAGTTCTGCGGAAATGGGACGCTTGTGTTGAAGTTGCTTAAGTTTTGCGTGTCTGTTGTATTCTCGCTTGGCGATGCCAGTGCCGGTAGAGCCAATGTAGGTGTGACCGCGTTGGTGGTATTGGTGAGTAGAAACATGTTGGTCGTAGTGGAGTTTGACGTAGACTGCATTGGGGTGGGAGAAAGTGTTGTAATGGTATGTGTTGGGTGTGATGTGGAGTTGTGAAAAGCGTCGTCGCCATTTCGTGGAATGGTATGTATGGGATGGAAATGCAAATAGGCTGGTAGGCAAATATGGTTTGTGATTTGTCAATGTAGGGTGTGAAGTGAACAAAGAGAGTGTATGATGGAGAGTGGAGAGGTGTTGTAGTGGGCGTGGGTGGGTTGTCGTTGAGCCTGGAGGCATAGTCAGGCGGCCAAGGCTGAGCGGCTGCGACCAGGTGTTGGAGGGCTTTGGGAGGGAGTTTAAGGACTCGTGCGAGTGGCAGTCCGTATCTGGTTGCCGCTTCTTGGAGCTGTTCCTTGGTGATGCGTTCGTTGCGGAGGATCTGGAGTATGTTGTTTGCTTGGGTTTGTGTGGCAGGTGACAGGTTCTTGAACCACTTCTGAATACCAGCTTTAGCGAAATTGGGTGGGTAGTTGTCATGGAGTGTTCGAGTGGTGGGATTGAGAATTGTAAGTGGTGTAGGTAGGGAAGTGGCCAGTGTTCCGGCTGGAGCGGTGGTGGTGCATGGCTGGAGGGTTTAGTGGGAGTGAGGGCATTGCCGTGGGTGCGAAGTTTGTTTTTGGCTCTCTGTAGTTCGCTCTCCGGATGGAGTTTGTCGGTCTGCTGTTGAAGCTTGCGCAGTGCAGTACCCTCTCCTGCTGGAGGGATTAGGGTGTGGAGAAACTCAATGAGTTTGGATAAACTGTTTTGCATCTGTTGTTTTGTTCGGGATGGGTTGTCCTCCTTGTTGGTGCAAGTGTTCCACAATGGAGTCGACATCAAGATTGTGGGATCGTATGTCAGTCAATAACTGGGAAGTAAAGACTGCTTCAGCGATGGATCGAGTGGCCCCGGTATAACGGCCTTGGGAGAGAGTCCGGAGGCTTTGGTCTTGAAGTCAAAACCTGCTGAGTTGCCAGCAAAAGATGTCAAGCACTGGTTGTCCGGCCAAGTTGTATTTCCTGGCGCTGTCGGTTGGATAGTCCGGAATCATGTCTGGCCGTGTATTTGTTTGTATCGAGGTGAGTGTCGGTCTGAGTCCAGGTGTTGGGGAGTGTGGGGATGTTTGGTGGAACCGAAAGTGGTGGTGTGGCGGGTAATGGGGGTGGAGGTGGGAGCGGTGGTGCGGTGGGAAGGGTGCCGTGGGTGCGGTGGAGGTGTGGTGTTGTGGGGCTGTGGTAGAGTCATGGGTGACTGGTGTTGTCGGGGTGGTGTTGTAAGGATGGTTTTAATGGTGTCTGACAGCATTGGTAAGAGGCCCGTAACTCGCGGTTGGAGCAGCGGAAGAGTCGTATCGTTGCCACCATTGCTGATGCGGATCCATGGTGGCAGGTCGAAGGTCGAAATCAAATTGGGATCGATCACTGTCTGTATTTGAGCAGCTGGTCAAGCAAGAGCGAATAACATATTCAGGAAGTAAAAGGTAAGACCATGAGAACGTGAGTGGGTTCTGGAAAGAACTGGACCGTCAACAGCAATGAAATCATAGGTAAAACGTCACGGTGCAGTCTGCCATGTTCAATGGCATAGCAAGAGATCAGTAAGTATGAAAACTTGACATCAAATATAAGTGGAAAAATACAAGTCTTGTATGATGTTTCTGTACGGCAGAAAAGTCTGACGGTTGACGGCATTGTGTACAGGGTGGAAAGGAGCATCACAAGTTGTCCAAAAACATTACAAAAACCGCTGTGTGTTACAGGAAACTGTCTCAGTAAATCAGGGAGCCGAGCCTATAGCGTGCCACCATGGGCCCTCTGGTCCGAGTGCTGCTTCTGGATGATTCGGTTGGATGGTGAGTTGAGTGGGTGTGCAGTGAGTGTTGTGTAGAGCTGTAATAGGACCCGCCGGGGTGAGGGTTGCATGTCCGTGTAGGGGAATGTGGAGACTGTAAAGTTGGGTGGGGGCGCAAGTGTGTTGTGTAAGATGCGTTGGTGAAGGGAAGAGGTTGATGGGACGTGGTGGAGAGGTGCAGCTGTTGGCGGCATGCATGCATGTATATTGTCGTGGCCGCGGTGGTAGTGCGACGCTGGAGCGGCCGAAATGTTTGGGTGTGTGGCAAGGGAAACCAGTGGAGTCAATGTGTTGTCGAGCAGGTGCAGGATCAAGCGTCCTTGATCCCTTCCCATCTGTGATCTTAGCTTCGTTGCGCGCAGTAGATCACAGATGCTGCACGCCCCTGCAACATCTACAAGCAATGGGACACCTTTCGAAAAAACAACCTCCTAGGGACGGAGGGTGACACACACACACACACACACTTGAGATATTGTGTACGGAACTGAATGCGGCGCCACTCGCCAGCCTAAGAGACCCAAATCCTGAAAAACCAGGTGAGGAAACATAGAAAGGAAATAGAGGACCTAGAAAGGAAGTAGAGTACCATCAGCTCCAAAAGAAAATCGCCGAGCGAACGACCGACAAGGTGACGACGTGCGTGCAGAAAACCAAGCTCACAGTCTGAGGTGAAGCACCGCTGCATTAGACGCTTACTGCAAAACACAGAAGTGGAACAGCTTGTCCATTAAGTAGGTTTTTCTCCAAGCAGGTACGTCAATCCAGCGTCCCGGATTGATTTCACCAGCACACATCCAGTGTCTTCGTTGGTGCAAGACTGGATGGGCTGCTTGCACCCCCTGCTGTAAAATAAACAAATGCAAAAGCATCCCTATGACTCCAAGGGTGACACACACACGCCTCCCCGAGGGGAGGCATCTCTTTGCGCCTAGTAGTGAGGCCAGGAACCCCTAGAAGCACCAAAGTAGCATCCAAGTAGTAAGGCCAGGAGCCCCTAGTAGCAACCCACACTAAGGTCCTGACGGGAGGGAGGGGTAGGGAGAGAAGAGAGAAAGAAAGAGAAGAAAGGAAAGGGGAAGAAGGTGTTCCCAGCTACGACACAGGCGTCCAGGGACACACCAAAGGAAGAGAGGAAAAGGGTTCCCAGCCTTCCCAGCTATGACGAAAGCATCCAGGGACACCCAAGGAAGAGGGTAAAGAGAGGAAAGAGAGAAGGAAAGAAAGAGAGAGGGAGAGAGAGGGAGAGGAGAGAAAGGAAGGTGTTCCCAGCTACGAACAATCATCCAGGGACACACCAAAGAAAGAAAGGGGAGATCCTGAGTATTCCATTCAGGAAAACACCAGAAAGCAAAGAAAGAAAGGGGAAGGGAAGGGGGAGGAGGGGGGGACTAAGCTCACGACAGGTTCCAATGAACCTTAAAAGTACTTCGGTCGCTCTGACCACGTTGAGGCATTAAGCCAGCTTGGACCGCTGCGGTCACGTAAAGGCATAAGCCAACTTGGAATTCCAAAGATGGGGCAAAAATCATCGGACGTACGGCCTAGGCCACCTACGCTCGCTGCGAGCTGCTCTGTATCCGGGCAATGGATACGTTCGACGTACACCCGTTCAACGGGTCCAGGGGAGGCACTCTGCGGGCTCATCCCGGGTTGGCACGAGGCCAAACACACTTGAGATATTGTGTACGGAACTGAATGCGGTGCCACTCGCCAGCCTAAGAGACCCAAATCCTGAAAAACCAGGTGAGGAAACATAGAAAGGAAATAGAGGACCTAGAAAGGAAGTAGAGTACCATCAGCTCCAAAAGAAAATCGCCGAGCGAACGACCGACAAGGTGACGACGTGCGTGCAGAAAACCAAGCTCACAGTCTGAGGTGAAGCACCGCTGCATTAGACGCTTACTGCAAAACACAGAAGTGGAACAGCTTGTCCATTAAGTAGGTTTCTCTCCAAGCAGGTACGTCAATCCGGCGTCCCGGATTGATTTCACCAGCACACATCCAGTGTCTTCGTTGGTGCAAGACTGGATGGGCTGCTTGCACCCCCTGCTGTAAAATAAACAAATGCAAAAGCATCCCTATGACTCCAAGGGTGACACACACACACTTCAATGTGGATTCGTCACGGCTTTTCATGGCTCTTCACTCTCGGTGTGGACCGAGGAGCGGCAGCAACAGGCCGCCGCCGCCGAGCGGCGGTCGACCGCTGAGGAGGGCGAAACGGAAGCGCCGGCGCAGCCCGGCGAACGGGTGGAGGCGATCCGCGGGACAGACAGATCAGACAGGGAGTCAGGATCAGAGAGGCTCTGAGGTGAGGTGAAAGAACGACAAGGGAGGTGGCAGGGGCTTGCACACGATATTGATTAAAATAGAAGTTTTAAAGAATAGATTTTGAGGGGAAAGATTTGATAAACATATATCAACATACAAATACATTTCAATAAAAAGATCTATATATAGATAATATTTATTATATGAGTGATATGGATGAGAACACCGACAAACTGTCAGAACTGACAAACAAACTGAACAGATGTAATAAGAACATCAAAACCATAATGGAGACTTTGAAGACCATTGAGGAGAAACTCACTGAACCTAAAAAGGAGGAGAAGAAGGATGATAAGGAAAGGATAGTTAAAATCTTTGAAAAGAAGCAGATAGGAAGACCCGCGGGTTCGTGGGATGATAAGAGGAGACAGCATGCGCATAGGATTAACGATGGTAAGATAAAACAACCGAAGGAAACAACATTCGAACTTTACAATTTTTTTAAGGATACTGAAACGGGATATTGTGAACTTGGATAAGTTCATATTAACATCTATAGAGTTTTAATGTGAAGCCATTGGAGTTATTTAGTGGAACAGGTAGTGTTGGTAGAGTTGCCCGTGAATTCGGTTTTAGTGTCATACCGTTAGATTTGAAGAACGCTCACATCAACGAAGATATATTAAAATGGGAATATAAAACGTATGAGAAACATTTTGACATAATTTCATTTGGGTTTCGCCTCCTTGCACTGAATATAGCAGAGCAAAAACCACGGGAGTTAGACACATAGATTATGCTAATAGCATCGTAAGGAAAACTATTGAACACATTAACTACTTTCAACCGAGAATATGTTTCATAGAAAATCCGCAGACGGGACTTTTGAAGGAACAGGACTTTATGAACAATTTTGATTATTATGATGTGGATTATTGTAAGTATGGTTTTGAATATAGGAAGCGGACAAGATTATGGACCAACCTAAAGAGTTGAAAACCCGGACCCTTATGTAAAAAGATTGTAATAGTATGGTAGGTAAGAGACACAAAGAAACCGCACAGAGACTTCCGTGTAAAGGTAGATGGGAGGAACAAAGGAAGAAAACACAAGATAAACTTTACGGAATACCCGAAGAACTTATTTATGATATTATATCAAACCTTTAGTATCTTGTGGCGAAGGAAGGGTTTAGTCAATCCTTCCAGTTGAAAGGTTCTGTTTCCCGTCGTGTCGTATTCTATCTTCCTGACTGTGTAGTTTTCTTTAGACCATTTGCTATTGTATTCTTTTCTGTCGGTGTAGTTGCCTTTTCCCTTGGTGAAGATTTTGACTGCGTCGTTTTCTTTTATCTCCTCATACATCCTCGTGTTCTTTTCTCTTCTTGTCAGATTTACCTTTACATCCATATGGTTCTTGTCATCGTGGGCTTCGTTGGGTGTGAGTTTTGTGGATTAATGTTTGGTGCTGTTGTATTTCTTCAAGACCGCCGGAAGCATACTCGCCCATCCTGCCTTAGTAAATCTGACCCTGTCGTGTATCATATTTTTGAGCGTCCTGATGAAACGCTCCACGACATTGGCGTGTGTTCTTGTGATGATGTGATTGATGGCTTCGTCTTTAAAGAACTTTGAGACTACTGTTTGAAATGCTCCGTCGTCATCGCTGTATATTGACAATTGAAAACCAGTCTTCTTGAAACTTTGCTTCAACGCTGGTAAGACCGTTTCTCCGTCTCTCTGCTTCATAGGCACGACGTCGCCCATCTTACTGAATATATCTATAACGACTAAAGCATAGGGTGGCTCGCAATTCTTCATTGGTATTTTTGTCTCCGGAACTTTCGTTAAAGGCTTCATATGCATTATGTCAATTTGATACTCAAACCTTGAGAACGGAGCGGTGTATGAGTTTGAACCTCTGTATCCTCTAATCTGTTTGTTGGGTTGTTTCTTCATAAAGGTTTCCACATCTACCCTCGTGATGGACGGGTCTTGTTCTTTTGCTTGTTTTAGGGTGTCTTGGATTGACCCGAAACCCTTTTCCAAATCGTAATAGACATTGCTTATTATTTGTTCTTTTGTTAATCTTCGTGCCATTATTATAGTTTTAGATTTTAAATATGTTCTTAAAGAATAAACAATATACTTAAAGACAAAATGATATATAAAAGTAAGAGAGTAAAGATGACTAAATTTGACTGTGGATGTCGGATAATGACTGAAGTTATTTCCTTGAATGAATGGAAAGAACCGAACTGGACTTATTTGTTGAACACATATGTGAATATGTGTGGGAAGTGCGGGAAGAGACAGATGAAATTCCAAACTACGGAAAACACACTCTTAGAATTGGAGAAGGCGAGAATGAGAATGTTTTTTGGAACAAGATGTCAGTGAAGAAAAAGAGGAGGATACATACTTTGACTTGAACGAGATGAAGGAACACCTCAAAAGCCTACCACCCGAAGAGAGGAAAGGCGTAAAAGACTTTGAGAGATTGAGGAACTTGGCAAATGGAAGAAACGAACACGAAGGACTACACGAGATAGATAGAGTGATAAAGGAACTGGAAGAGGAGGAAAGGAAAAAGGAAAACCAACCAGAACCCGAAATCTAAACAAGACAGCACAATTACTTAAAGAAACAATACCTATATATAGTAAGAGACAATGAGTAGCGTAAAATTGCAGATTTGAGTTCAGTTTCTGAAAATTTAGGGTTATATGCTGACTTTGGAAGTGATACTGAGGATGAAGGGTGGGAAAGAAAACACACAGAAAAAGAAGATGAAGAGACAAGAGAATTCGTTAGATGTCATCCTATGTCTTTACCTGATGATGAGGACGGCGATGCCTTCTGGCACAAAGTGATTGATAGGATGAAGGAGTAAACGGTATGTTAATCTTTTCGTTCGTGAGGCTTGACATTATGAAAACAATGTATGAAAACCTCACGGACAAAAAAGTCATCATTGTTTGTGGTAAGGAACTCAACCGTGATTGAGACTTCAATGCTATGATTATAAACCTAACTCTTCTATCAATAGGGATGGATGAACTAAACGATACAAACAAACCGTGCCTAACACACATGAGGGTCATTGAACACTGGTGGGATGGAATAGGAACATGGAAAGCATAAGCACGATTAATTCATAACATTTTAATTAAACAATGAACTAATCCTTTAAACCCAAACCCCCACAACAAGAGAACCCTCTAAAACACATTTAAAGACATAACCCCTTAAACTTATAGAGATACAATGACTGACAAAAGCAATGTTCCAAGTGTAAGGTCTTTCAACCACTCAACTATTTCAAAATGAATGTAAGCAATGTAAATTATGTCTGGAAGCAAAGCAACGATACAGGGAGAAAAAACAAGATAAATTCAGAGAGTATGCCAGACAATACTACTATCATAAAAATGAACAAACATTAGTATGTCCGGTGTGCGAAAGCATCATAAACAAGTATAAAGTCAAACGACACGAGGAAAGCATCAAACATCAAAACAAAGTAAAAGGGAAAGAACAGCCAAAAGTTATAAGAAATGGAGAGGATGATGAAACTGGCATTATGGGAATATAAACCCAAAACCCACCCAAAAAAAAACACCACAAAACAAAACCCAACAACCTAAACAATCATCCACCTCGTTGAATTATAGCAATGATAGTGAAAGTTATGACCCAAAAACACGCATAACAAGACCCCAGAAAAACGACAAAGGCTCAACACAAATGTTCAAGAGCCAAGAAAAAACAACGAGGTGGTTGATGAACATGAACTCCCCAGAACCCCCATTTTACCCCTTTTTTAGGGGAGGGGCGAGCAAAATCGCCGAGATCGAAAAGCGTGCCTTGCATGGAGAAATGGAGGGTGAGGGGGAGCCTGGACAAGTTTCAAGATTCTTTAGTTTGAAGCGGAAGGGGTCCAGCGATGAGTATACATGAGAGTCTTTTAGTTTGAGCTCAGTTCGAGAGTCGAGCTCAGAGGAGTCCTCCCCGAAATCCTGAAATCATCATGGTTATCATGGAAGATCGTGGAGTGAACTCCACCTGTTTATCGGATTTCATGGTCATCCTGTTTATCGGTCCCAAACATCACGGCCCTTTCAGGGAGTGTAGAGCCTTTCAACCTGTTTATGACCTCTTTTTTGATCACCAACCACCCAAAATAAGGTCAAACTTCATGTCAAAACAGAGGTCATGTCTGGGCTCTAGGCAGAGCCTTCGGATGATGGATGGTTGATCTTTGGTTGGGATTAACACCGCAGGTGACCTTCTCTGCACGGCCCTTTGGTGTGACACCAGCAACCAAAGGCGCCTGAGAAGTTGGGAGTTGTGGGTGTGAGATGGATTCGGGTCTTGCATGGAAGGTGGAGTTTGCGTTTGAAGCCTTTTTGGGAACACACATCATCCCGGATCAGTCTTGATATAGTGGCCTATGCTGGAGATCATAAGGCAACGATACCTTGTCTGAAGAGTCTTGATCTAAGAATGCAACTTCAGCGGGGGAGATAAGATGGGTGTTGTTGAAACGGTGTCAAGCTCCATTTTCTACTGCAATTTCAAGGGTGAGATTGCTGCTCTCTTTACACTTGCGGCACTTGCGAATGTTGCTTGCTGATTGGACAAGAATGTGCTTTTGCCTTGACCATGGGCATCCATAGAAGTGCCACAGGCAGTGGCTATGTGGTGCTAAAGACTTCAGAAGGCAAACCTGCCATGAAGGCCACTTGGCATGGTTGTCAGGCAGTAGACTTATCTATATACTACAATATATTATAGCAATATAATAGTAGGCTTGAAGATCTTGTTGAAAGGAGGTGTATTTTTTCGAAAGCATGCCAAGGTTCAGCTGGGTGCAATTTGGAGCCTTTGGGAGGCTTCAATAATCGAAAAGACATGGAGAATAGATTGACATCTCACGAAAGGACTCTGCTGTCTTTGGGACTTGCCAAACATAGAGCATTCAATTTGCAGCGTGACTTGCCCCCTTCTCTCTTTTTTTTTTTTCATATCTTTTCATCAGAGCTTCACTGTTTTCCAATCTTTCCCCAATGTCGCTGGTCGATTTGGATCCCCATTTGTCGGATAGACATCGAACGGGGTGCCCGTGCCATGTCTCACCTCTGAAACCACTGGATGAGTGCTGTAGCCCCCAACATTCTCTTCTCTTCGCATGGAGGGTATAGTTGCTCCGCTTCACGGCCAGGCTGGTGTGCGACCTGGCTGGCGCCTCGTTCAGCTCAACGGAGAAGAGCTCAATGGGGAGCTGGGCGAGATTCAAAGCCGACTGAAGGCGGAGAGCGCTTGGGCGGGTTTTGCGAAGGGCAGTGAGAACGACATGCTCACTAACAGTGAGAACTCACTAACAGCTTCAATCAGTTACTATTTTCCTGGCATGGCACTGGTTGTTTCATGACTGTTGCCCTCTGGCGTGTTCTTTTACTTGCAGACTTTGGGCTGGAACTTGCTGAGGTCCCTGCTTTATTTCCTTGTGGCGGGGGTAAGGTGTCTTACTCTCTAGCCACCAGCCTTTTGAATACACTTGCTTTTATCCATCAGGGGCTTCTTGAACTAAAACGCACTGGGCCTTGTTCTCTGGGATCATACTGTCACACCTGCTCTTCTAGACTGCTTCCTTTGTCAATGAAAACAAACGGATGGTGGTTTCTTCCACTGGGCGGGACGTACATACATGCAGAATGCTCCTGAAACACTCCCCCCCCCCCCCGATGCAAGAATCTTAAACAGCCCAATTGACATGTGGCCTTGAAGAATTCTGGACCATGGTGATTGTCAAGGTGTAGAGTCTGACAGCAGCTCTTGAATTTTTCCCCAAGACTAAGAACCAGGGAGTTTTGGACACCACCCAGCGTCGCCGAGACCCAACAACTCCGCGCCCGGGTGCGCCGGGATTCGCCGGCGTTCGTCCGTTCCACGAGGCGGCCGAGTTGCCGGTGCAGATGACCTTCGAAACCTTGGGAAACCAAGATTTCTGCACCTCCTGCCAGGCGGGCGAAGAACATGTTCGGGTCCCTCTACTGGGCTTCCCAGGGCTTCCGATAGCCGGGGGTAGCCAAGGAGAGGTGGTGTCGCCCCGGTTCGGGAGAGACGGCGGCGTTGGGAAGGGCGACCGAAGCTTCCGCTCGATCGCGCGACCCGCCCGTCGGTCGCGTGAGGGGGACCGTACGACGGGTCAGTAATCCGGTCCACCTATTTAAAAACGCGCCCCACCCCCGTAAGAGGGAAGAACACGCCCTATGTGTCGAAGACTGTTTATGCACTTTTCTTTATACATTTTGGTTCTCCAAATTTATAAATATAAACAATATTTAAATGTTTTTAATTTGCGGAATCCCGTGGCAATTAAATTCATAAATATTACACATATTAATGTCTAAACACTGTATATATTTATGATATTTCTAAATTTCGGGCCTCCAAATTTATACATATTATACATATTATAAATATTTGGCATTCCCGGGATCCAGTGGCAATTAAACACAAAAACATATATATATATATATTTGGCATTCCCGGGATCCCGTGGCAATTAAATCTGTAAATATTATAAGCATTAACAATATTTATAGTATTTATAAATTTCGGGCCTCCAAATATATACGTATCATAAATATTATAAATGTCTATAATATTTCGAATATTTATAATTTTTGGCCCTCCAAATTTATAAATATGTGTATACCATTTATAAATTTAATTGCCACGGGATCCCGGGAATGCCACATATTTATAATATATTGTAATATTTTTTAATTTGGAGGCCCAAAATATATAAATATTATACATATTTCAAATATTTACATTATTTATAATATTTATAAATTTAATTGCTACGGGATCCCGGGAATGCCAACTATTTACAATATCTATAATATTTATAAATTTGGAGGCCCGACATTTATACACATTATAAATATTATAAATTTTTCAAAAATTGATAATATTTATAATATTTATAATATCTATAATTTTTTTAATAGTATGTATAATATTTATAATATTTATAGATTTAATTGCCACGGGATCCCGGGAAACATATTTAGAATATTTTTAGATTTCGGGCCTTTTCGATATTTTAAGTATTATAAGTATTTAGTAATATTTATAATATTTATAGATTTAATTGCCACGGGATCCCGGGAATGCCAAATATTTGTAATTTTTTCGAATTTAATTGCCACGGGATCCCGGGAATGTCAAATATGTATAATATCTATAAATTTGGAGGCCCAACATCTATTAGATATGACAAATATCTATATATACTATTTATAATATCTATAACATTTATAGTTTAATTGCCACCGGATTCCGGGAATGCCAAATATTTATAACATGTAATTAATTCCCACTGGATCCAGGAAATGACACATATTTATAATATATAATATCTATTATATTCATCAATTTAATTGCCACGGGATTCCGGGATTGCTAAATATTTATAACTTTATGTGACACAGGATATCTGGAAAACGACATTTTTTGTTTATAAGGACAAACACATCTTTCGTTTTATTAAATCATGCAGGTTTGTAAGGGGCGTTTAGTTTTTCTGCCCGATTGTTTTTGTTGAGCTGTCGTTCTACTTCAGGCAGACGTTTTTCCTGAGCGGATGTTATTCCCTAAGCAGGTGTTCTCCCCCTGAGCGGGCGTTCTTCCCCTAAGCGGGCGTTCTTCCCCTGAGCGGGCGTCTTCCCCTGAGCGGGCGTTCTTCCCCTGAGCGGGCGTTCTCCCCTGAGCGGGCGTTCTCCCTGAGCGGGCGTTCTTCCCCTAAGCGGGCGTTCCCCCCTGAGCGGGCGTTCTTCCCCTGAGCGGGCGGTTTTCCCCTGAGCGGGCGTTCTCCCCTGAGCGGGTGTTCTTCCCCTGAGCGGGCGGTCTCCCCCGAGCGGGCGTTTTTCTCCTGAGTGAGCGTTCTTCCCCTGAGCGGGTCTTCTCCCCTGAGCGGGCGTTCTTCCCCTAAGCGGGCGTTCCCCCCTGAGCGGGCGTTTTCCCGCCTGAGCGGGCGTTCTCCCCCTGAGCGGACGCTTTTCCCCTGAGCGGGCGTTCGGGCGTTCTCCCCCGGAGCGGGCGTTTTCCACCTGAGCGGGCGTTCTCACCCTAAGCGAACGTTTTTCCACTGAGCGGGCGTTCTCCCGAGCGGGTTTTCTACGTGCAAGCAATATGTTGTTCTTCTCATTGGGTGAGCGGATCCCTTGAGCATACGTTTTCTGCCCTGAACATTTATTAGATTGGTCTCTTCAAGGGTTATTCCAATAAATTCTTTGGCGCAAGACTGACTCAGGTTATCTTGTTGCATTTTACGTTTATGCCTGGTGCTTTGTATGATTTCATGCGAAAAATTTGCCTGGTATATAAATCAAATGACGGTTGTCCTGCTGAAGAGTCACATTGTGAAATATCAGCTTGACTTTCGGCGGCTGTCTCTGTCCAAAGACCCAAACCCTATGCTTTTTTGTGGTGAACCTCTCAGCCACATTGGAGCCCAGGAATCGCAAAAGCTTGTAGATAGTTTTAGATGTCTTGTGTGTAGAAGTCTTATCCTACTGTAGCCTGAGTAGGGGGCTGATCATCGGAAACTCAGATATCAAGCAGCGTGCCTGTCTGGATGTGTATCGGCCAGATAATTTTTGGAAAATGACACGTTCACCCAGCAGCTGGGCGGGAGTTCAATCCATGATCGTAGTAGGATCCGGCTCCGAATCGACCCACTGGGGGCTTCTTGTTTATTAAGTAGTGATCACCCGAAAGGCTGGACGCAATAGGATCCGGCTAGACTAGACTGACGTATTTTTCTTTTTTGGGAGATCTTACAGAGTTGCAGGTTTCTTATACGTAGGTCTTGCAACAATGCAAACCAAACGGCCTTTTCAAATATATATATATATAAATATTTTTTATACATATAGGTTCAACGATAAAACCATGCAAGAGGCATTCAGTTTCCATACTTGGAAGATACAGGTATATTGTCTCCGCTCCACTCATGAGGAAACAACCCAATCCCATGCTGCAGAAGCGAATGCTATCGTTTTTTGAGAGTGCCTGAAGATATCGCCGCATTTCCGTGCCATGCGCAGGCATTTTGCAGGCGTTTGCAGAGAGAAATCCGATTTCTCCGATATGACAATCTTTATTTCCACAGCAGTCGGTAGCTGCGTGCTTGAATAGCTGCACCTCTTCCGATTGGAAGCGCAATATGATGAATGAGAAAGTAACTAATGACAATAACCACCGCAGAAAATGCTTTTGAACAGCTCTGTTCGTCGTCGTAGCAAAGAACCTGCTATACAGCGTCGCCATGCTGCTTCTCATCGGCCGTCGGCAAGCGTGTCCTTTGGAGCTCGTCTACTGGGCAGACCTTGGCTTTGAGGGTTTGCGCCCAGAGGTGGGATGGCTTTTGCCAACTCGCTTCCAGCACCTCAGCCGAAGAAAGCGTGTAGGAGCGCAAGAATAATCGCAACGTATTATATATAAAACTTAACAGTTTGAGCCTATCACTCTTTTTGATTGAGTCAGTGTTGCTCGTATCCCGTGCGTAACTTCAAGGGATAACTTCGTCGACTCGAAATGCCAAACTTGTGAGAGGTGAAACGAATTGAAATGCGCAAGGAACTGCGCAGATGTGGGAGAAGCGGGTGCTCTGAGAAATGAGCGTTTTGACCTGCTCAGGTGAGGCCGAATGGAGACCAGAGAATGCATCGATGTCGCCAAAGAGTTTCTCAGCGACTTGCTTCGCAGGTAGCCTGCAAGTTTGTTGTATCAAAACCTCCGACGAAGGTAGCGTCAATCCAGTGAAGACTAGAAGTATGTGAACATGAGGAAACCTCTCAGAACGAGGAGGTTATCGCAGTAAATGTGTTGGTGTGTTGTCGATGGCGTCTGTAGTTTGTAGTGATACAAGCGCACGTGCAGACACACAAGCGCACATACACTTCTCTCACAAAGAGTCCTGACCGTGTGCGCGCGCGCGCGCGCCTGTTCTCTCAGAACACCGGCAATCCTGAGCCCAATGCGTCAACGATCACATACTTCGACGCAGCGCGCAGAACAAAACCACTGGAAACTTGACAGAGTGAGAGACAATCAGCTCGCTAGCCACGCTGCAGCTCCCGTGCTCAAAGTACAAGCCCGATCGTCCCGCTCTTTCCTCTCAGCGCCTTGTCTGCATTCTACAGGGCATAGCCACCTGCAGCATCTGAAACTTTTAGCATGGTATGTTCTGTCCTGGACAATGTTGGCCTTTGAGGCAGTCACCTCGTCATGGCTTTTGAGATCGCGCATGGTCGAGCCTTCTTGCTGCTCTGCACTGGCCGCTGCTTGCCTTCATTGTTCTTGCGAGTCCGCAACGAAGCTACGGACCCATTAAGCACCCACACTGAGGTTGTAAGAAGTCTGAACAGTTTGCGACCAGTTCAGGCGGGCTTCAGAGGAACAGTTACAACGCGCAAACCTTCCACGCAAACTGCGTCAAACTGCTATCATTGACTCGCGTTTTGCAGGTTCAGACAGCCAAGCGTGAGCGGCCCACCAAGATCCCCAGGCCTACATGGTATCGAAGATTTCGCTGCAAGGGAGCCTGGGCTTCACGTGTAAAGCAAACGGTATCCAACTCTTGTTCCTGCACCTTTCAAGGTTGCTCTGGCCAAGCTTCATCCACCAACGATGCCCGTGAGACTGAAAGCCAGATCGCGCGCATCATGGCGTGGCGCGAATTAAGTTTGTCTCACATGAGGCAGCGCAGAAGTGTGTCGACGAATGGAAGGCCGAGTGTATTTGAAAAGTGCATGTGTGATACAGTGAGCAACAGGTGGGCACAGACATCGGGCCAGGTGACTATACCTAGTCACTAGTTGCAATGTCTGGGCCCAAAACTACATGAAGCGACAAGACTTCTGTCAAAACTTGATTTGTCCAAACTTAACCTGATAGAATCTCTCGACAAACTCCGAAGAAATGACCGTTCGACACACCACAGCTGCCAAATGTGCAATCTTGCAGTTCAGCTTGTGTTGCTCTTGCCTTGACCTGGTCGCTGTGGCAAGCCCGCGGATGTCGGACAGGTCACCATATGTATGAGTAGCGCAAAACAGTCTCTAGCCTAAAGTTTTCTCGGTAGGGCTGCCACTGCCTGAAACAGACTTCACAAAGTTCAGTGGACCACAAAAGTGTGTCGATGAGTGGAAGAGTGAGGCTTGGACTGTTTCGAACCGGTTACCCTGTATCAATGCGTGAACATGGAGAGTTGGCTCATGACTTTCGAAACATGTTTCCACCTGGCGGGACAGGATGTCCAACACCATGTGCAGGGTGCACCTCGAACGTGATGCGCCCTGCAGTGGATGGCTCACGTACGGCGTGGCGCTCTTCAGCGCCAGCACTTTTCTGGAGCTGACGCGCTTGATTCAGTTCATGGACCGTCGACCGAGATCCAAGGAACACCTTAGGTGTACCAGGACCGGATTTCTTTTTGAAAAGCTTTGTGGCATGGTTTGTAGGCCGGCGTTGTTCACGTTAAACCTAGCTAACCTAGCTAACTTAGCACATGAAAACCAAGCCGTCCAAACTTGCGTTCCGAAACCACTGTCAGGTGTACAGCGCGTTCGGCTTGAGTTGAGCGTGCTAGTGCGGGATGGAGAAATGGTTTGGACGTTTGACAATCTTTATCACAGCTGTGCGCCTCATAGGGCGCATTCTTCCCAGCCACCCCCCTAATAAGGAAACCTCGGTCGCTATCTTTTTAAATAGGGGTCCCTGATATCGGGGTGGTCCAAAATAGGGTCACCTGGAAAGAGTTTCAAAACCAAAAAGTAACCCAGGAATATTTTATATAAGATCATTTATTAAACTCGTTTTAAAAATGCAAAAAGGTGGGCAGAGGTGGGCAGTTACGGCTGTTTTTGGAACCTAATAAGAAAAAACCCCTCCAAAGCCGGCCATGTTGGTAGCTTAGTAGCGGCTTGAAAGGGCGGTAATTTAAAAACACATATAAACCGTATTTAGGGGGATCCGACATGTTCTTTTTTAAATTGGGGTCCGTTTTTAAATAGGTACTCGGGATTAGTAATATGATGTACACTATCCACTAGTGATTTGGGACTTGTGAAGTGACTGTGCAAATTTCAAAGTTCCATCTCATGTGTTTCCAAGTGTGTCCACAACTCCCATCTCATCATGCTACCATCAAAATCAAGAACACCAGAGGGTAGCTGAGCCTATCTCTTTGAAATGATGTATTCCAAAGGGGACACTGGTGAGAGGGGAATTGGGGGCACTCCCCCGCCCCCCCCAAAAAACGTTTTAAGGAGTATAACTCCTATCTCATGTGCTTTTTGAATGGTTTCAGTCAACGTTTCGCAGACACGTGTGCCAGGACTTGTGCAACAAACAGCTTATCTCATAACTGGCACAACTCCTAACTCACCAGGGGGTAGTATAATATGTAGCAATACGTCTGATTATATGGTCAATCCACAATACGAAAACGTTCTACAATTCCTCGTTGGGTTTTAGGAATCATGAGTCTACGTTAGTCTGACCACTTTCAGGAAGTCCAGACCGGGGGGGTGGGCTGACTTGGTTCCGAGAGAACACTGACACAGACGGATCATTGTTTGGCCAACCGACGGCATTGTCAGGGATAAGCCATCCAAACTGGCCAGTGTGACTCAAGTTTGCCCACAGCCTTGTTTTAGCAAGAGCTACAAGTAGGGTAGAAAGGGTAGAAAGGGTAGAAGGACCAAACACCCTTCACCTCGCAACGAACATACCCTTTACCTCGTGTTCCTCGTCCAGGAGATTCTACCAGGCTCCAGCTTTTCCAGGAAAATGCGTCTCGACTTCAGGGGACACGACTTCAGCTACTCAAGGACTCCAGTCGAATCCAGTCCGAGGACGGTCCTGGACGTTTTTTACAATTGACCAATTCTCAGCCACGACAGCTCGAAGACTGAGAGGTTGATGGACATCATGTCTTCTTTTTTCTTAATGATGATCAGAAACCTCCACGACTCATCAAGCCACCAGCTCGACTACTAAGGTCATACTGAATGAATCATCCAAGTTCCATGCCAAGGGTCGAACCAAATTGGGATTATTTTTTTTCCGCTCATGATCCATTTGCTGGATGGGACGAGGAAAAGAAAGATGAGAAACCTGCAATCACCCAAGTGAGCCTCCAAAGCCTCCAAAGCAGTGTTCAAAGCTGGGAGTGGTGAAGCAGTATTCTTGACGGATTCATCAACCAGGATCCCCCCCATATGTGCAAGGGTCAAAACACGCGATGAAGAGTTCTTTGCGTAAGTCGCCATGGAATGTGTAAGAATGTGCTTTCCTGTGTAAAACGATGGGAACCCTGAAAAACAATAAAGAGAGGTCAAACATGGTAAAACATGGTAAAACCATGTAAAACCGTAAAACCCTTGTGGAGACGAATCCTCAGAGACCCTTTTCCTTTTGTCAACCACATCGTCCACATCTGCCGCTCCCAAGGCGCACGAAGCCTCCTGAGAAACGCCGTTGTAGCAGCTGTGTGGAGGTCGTCGGTGTTCTATTTTCCGGGCTCGGTGAGTGGTCCTTACATGTCCTTCCAAGGCTCTAATCTGGAAATTCATGGGAAGATGGGAACAAATGACGACCTGTCACGCTTCGCTTTTTCTTCTTTTCCCGGGAGGAACATATGACGACATTCTATAATGTAATCATATTTCATAGAATCCCCCAACGGTGTTCGATCAAATGCCAAGAAAACGGCACTGTAACAAATGAAGGGGGATTCCATCGCACAGCGATGCCCAACCCCCTTGTTGGGGCCACGGCACTGCTGTTCATCTTTTTTTTTGGCACGCCCTGAATGAGCATCCTACCGAACCATACGGGTTCTCCAATGGTTTTTGCATTGTTGTTGAGGTGCCACTCAAGATGCAGTGTGTCTAAAGTCGGCGGTGATGGAGTGAAAGCGGAGGCAGAAGCGGAGGTGGAAGTGCGTGAGGAGACAGCGGGGTATCCTGACGCCAAAGAAGGCGCAAGAGGGGTGTCGGGTGTGGGGGTTTGGCACGAGAAACGCAACTGTGAGGGGAGGGCAGTCAACCTGATGTATGTCTTGAGATACACCAAGTAACTTGGTGTCCGAATGATTGTGGAGGTGTCAACATGCGAAGTCCCCTAAACATGCCATCCCAAAGATGCCATCCCACAGATGGATATGGGAAAAATCCAGGATTCCTTAACACATCTTAAAACTATCTTCCCAAGATCCGTTGGAAGACACATCCAATAGGAATCAAACGCTGTGAATTTGGTGTGAATTTGAACACTTTTAAAGGAGTTGTCTTTGAACAGTGTCACACCAAAATTGGTTATGTCTTCCCTGCTTTCTCCATTTTCTTGTGAATGGGAGTCTGATGTAAAACACACACACACACACTGGTTGCACAGCTGGTGTTTGGTCCGGTACACCGGTGTTCGCCGCTTCGCCACACCGGTGAGCGACGTGTTGGGACGAAGTCACATGGAAGCCCAAAAGACCCTGGTTTGTTGAGGAACATGGTCTTCCTTTCGGGGGCCACTGGACACACTGCCATCCACTTCGAAGGTAGTTCCAGGGAGTGTATACTTGAAGGACCAACATGTCCGGAGTCGCTGCAGTATTTGATTGGAATTCCGGATTTCCATTAGATCATTGAGTAATAAGCAAACACATTAGATTAGTTGAATCATGTAATTTACTTCATTTGACTCCAAAAAGCATCCCCCGGAATAAAACAACATACATGAGTCAATTACACGCTCCGTCACGGGATACCACGAGCTGAAGAAACCGGAGTTGCTCAAGCTGCTTCTGGTCAGCCACAAAGCGGGGCTCGTCAGGCGGAGGCGGCAAGCTTTCGGAGCTCAGACAGTACGCCCGGCCATCTGTGGGATGGATCGGAGGAGTCTTCCTTTTTTGGGGGAAGTGATCTTCGGAAGTATCAACCACATTGCAAATGGGCGTCGCCACCAAACCGAAGCAAAAAACCTCAAGACCCCCACGGCCCGTGGCCGTGGTGGTAAAAAAGAGCGGGTTTCCCCCAAATTTGGGCTGCGGGAGTTCTGAGGCGAGTCCATATAATTAGTTTTACAATCTCTACCACACCCCGGAGACACCAACATCAAGCTGAATAATTGGTCACGGCAGACCCTGGTTTCCCCGCGGGTGAGAACTATCTCCCGGACTTCAAGCAGGGGGAGGTGCTTCTCAAGGAAAACATGCTCTCCTTATATCACATAATTACTCCGATGGCCTAGTAACGTTTCCATGGACGAGAAATCACTTGAGAAAGAAGTCGGTCGTTCGGAGACCCGATGGAGGAGACCCTTCTCGGTGAGAGCCATTGTTCGTGCGCCATCAACGTGCGCCAGAAACGGTCGTTGCAAGAAGTTTTCGGGGAAGTCCTCCCCTGAGTACCCGAAAAAATAAAAGCCGACATGACATGAATTGATGCACGATGATGTTGAGGGGAAGCCGTCCCGGGGAGTTCAACCCTTGCAGTGGCCGCCAGGCTTTGTGCAGAGACCGCCAAAGAAGCAGAGCAGGCGGAAGCGGCCAAATCCGGGGGAGCGAAGCACACAGGAAAAAGCCATCAGACGAGCCATCAGGCACCACAAGATAGATCATCATTGAAATCCGGATCAAGATCAATATGATATTTTTAGGTTTGTTCGCCACACACCAAGACACCTCCGACAGCTACACAGAAGTGCCTAGCCAGTGGCAAATCCATCCAAGCATCGTGATCGCTGGGAAGATAGAAGCGGGGCTGAAGTTCATAGAACTTCGAGGACATGAACAAATACTACTTAGTAGGCCCTTCAGGGACACGCACATTTTTATATAGACCCCCAAATAGATAGAAGATCCCCACTAATCACTAATCATTAATCATGTATTGGACACCGTTTCTACATGTTTCGGGACCACATAATTACGTAACTGCTTTCATAAAGGTTACGTCAGCTAGGGATCGATTTCACCAGTTGTTGCCTTCGCGACGGAGTGGGACGGTCGATCACACCCTTTCAAATCCCAAAACACAAAACACAAAAACCGTGGTCCCCAAATAGATGACCGTGGCACGGTTTCCAATACATCATTAGTGGGGGTCTACTGTTCTGTTTACTTGGGGGGGTGACCTATTCTTCCGGAAGAAACACTGGAACCTTCTGTCAAGTTGCATCGTTTTGTTCCTTCAAGTGACAGGGGGGTCGTGTAAACCGCAAGGGAGCGGATGGGACGGAACGAGTGTATCCCCATGTGGGACGACCGTCCGTGCGGATCGACCGTCCGGACCGGTCCGCGTGACGGTGTCACGAAGAAGGTCGGTCACATGGATTCGGTATTTGGTGGTGTAGAAGTCACAGGTGAGCAAAACTAGACTCTAGTCAGACATGTCGATGTTGGTTGCACCATTTGGTCACCATTTCATCATCCCTGTGACCTGCCTTCGTTTGAGGTCACAGGCCTGAAAGCTGTCAAAGGAGCTGGACGCGGTGGGAGCCGGATGCGGGAGCGAGCGAGCTGGAGAAAGCGGCAGTCCAACAACTCCAAAGCGGTTTGTGGCGGTGACTGCAACGGCGGTGACTGGAGGTTTAGTGTTTACCAATGTTTAGGGCATCTTAGCCTTGAAGCGGTATGAGGGCTTCAAGGCTAAGCTGCTTGACTGTTGATGAGTTTTGGAGCTGCTCCATCATTTGGATGGTAAAACCCGTTCAAATGGTGGGTTTAACTAATTACATCCTCCCTATGGAGGGTTTCATTCATCTACAGTCTACATGATTTGCACCGGCAGTTCCTCTCCAGTCTGTACCTAGACCATCCAAGGGGGGCCTCCGAACACGACCACCCTACAATACTTGTGGGCTTCCATTGGACACCCCGAGCTTCGATGCTCCTGGTACGCACAAGATGCCCCCTTTTAGAACCTCCCTCCCTATGGTGAAGGGCCTGTAACGGGATGGAATCACTGTCCGCTTGCGGGACTGCACCCATGGTTCCATGGCTCACGCAGTCCGACTGGTAGGCGAAGACGCCTTTCTGTTCATTTGGCCGGGCCTTTTCTCCCCAATCCATCCACCCTGACCCCAATATGGCCTCCCAAACTCACGTCGACTTGATTTCGCACACTCCTTTGAGAGAAGTTCAGTCGGGGGGGAGCTTTCTGTCCTCACTCCTTGTGTGCTCGTGGAGGTGGCCGTGGTCGTGGACGTCGCTAGCTGCGCCAAAAGAAGAGCTCCTTGAGCGCCAGTGCTGTTGGTGCGGCGGTTTGACCCGTAGGCCTCTGCAGTTGCTCTCAACCTACTTATGTCCTACCCCCCGGGGCCCGGCAGGCCCTTCAAACAAAAACGGTTTTGGATGGACGAACCTTTTTGCACCTCCATGTTTCAAAGGGGACATGCTCGGCTGGAGAGAAGCGAATCCTTTTTCTCGATCAGTGGAGACTGCGATTGGATTCCACAGGTCTTCTGAAAAAGGCCTCCAATGGTTCCAGCATGCGAAGCATATTGTTTGGTGCCCGTTTGAAGCAAAACCCAGAGCTCTTTGCCTCTTGTCCAATTTCGTCATGCACCACAAAGAAGTGCCTAGAATGGACGCTCCTATCCTCATCTATTCCCCACTGACCACCCGTTTCGAACTCTTTGTATATAGTTGTGCCTTCACTTACCCAGTCTTGCATGTTTGGGCGCTCCGTTTCCGCAGCTGTGCTCGCTCGCACCGTCGCTACCGATGCGAGCAGCCTGTGTCCTGCTGTTGTGCGCCGCGACCGCGGCGGTGCAACTCAACGAAGTGCAGGCGGCATATGCCACGGTTAGCCGACCGGTCTGGGGGGAACTCCCCCTCAGCGAACTCATTAGCTTGGGAATTTCACGGCTGACGCGGCCTGACGGTGTTCTTTTTGGTTCGGATCGGCAGGTCCCACCTGCGCTGGCTGCCCTGCCTCATGCCCATTGCCTGCGCTTGTTGGAGGAGACCTACGGGGCCTTGAAAGGTGCAAGTCCCGTGTGTTGTGCGGAAAGCGCTGCGGATTTAGTAATTTATTGGGGTGTCATTCTCACACCACAGCTGATCCATTCTTTATATTTACCATCATATACCCCTGAAACCACTCCAAATGTATGCAACAATTGAATACATGGAGTGTATGGGTACAGATTCACTTTCTTGCACTCTCACTCTGATAGTTTCACGACACTGTTGGCGCACTTTCACCCCAAGCTCTGCGCTAGCTCAGCGAAGCTGTAGGCTGGGAGCCTCGCTGGGGCCTCTTTCGACATGCATGCCTGGGCATGGCAAATCGACTACAGCTGCCGGAGGACATGAATCAGGCACGAAGCATCCCCGTTCTTCTGGCAGGCGTACGATGTCGCAGTCCGAAGCATCGATGGTGGGGAAAAACCAAGCCTTCGAGGGTCGCGACACGCGCCATGGGTTGGACATGGGATTTCTGCAAGACCAGCCGCCATGCGCGATGTGTTCGTGACGTGTGCGTGAGACCTGCAGCGGCTTTGCCTCTGCAGCTCTTGCGGTGAGGCATCAAGGCCAGACGCGCGGGAGGGACTTGGGCGGACTTCGGAAGTCTCTGAGGAAGAGGAGGAGAAGATCTAGGAACAGAACAAGAGGAGCCCGGACAGCATCCGAAGATATGCCATCAAGGCTCCCCCTACGTCCAACGTCCATGCGATAAGACCCCCGCGTCCATGCCACGTCCGGGGTGGACACATGTTATTGATTTTCCCAGGTGTTCCTAGGTGTTTCTAGTAGCTTACCTTGTTACTAGTAAGGCACTTGTTACGTTCGAAGCGATGCACTTGTTGGTGTTCCTTTCTCCGACCTCCCGTGACCGGTGGGGGTCTCTTCGAGCGTTTCGCCCCAGCCATCGCCCCTTTCGCGATCCGCGGAGCACGTCGGGTCACCGAGGGTGGCATCCAACTAAGTGAAGTGCTCTCAACATGTTGCGATGCATATGCTGGGAATGCTCCAAACCCTTGCAAAGGATAGGGGACTGCAAAAAAGCGGCTTGCCCTAGCTCCAAGGTTAAAACAGTGGGAAACCAATGGGGGACTACCAAAACTGTGACGATGTCACAGCCCCGCAGAGCAAACAATTTTGACCCTACCTTAATGGACCTTTGGGGCCGGGTTAAAACCGGGCTTGACAGGTGTCATGGGTCAAGCAGGTGCTTTTCGGAGCACCATGGCAACGTGATGAAGCCGCACACACTAATCATCCAGGCTGTCCATGTGTTCAATAAACTGTCAGGTAAGCAAAGGGTGGAAGTCTACTCTACAATGCTACAATAAGATACATGTGCCAACCAACACATCCGGAGTCTCACTATGGGATGGACACAAAAGGTGTTGATCTAAAGCCTTGTCATTTTCTAAAAGCCTTGGAGAAGGGAGTTCGTTTTTGATTCAGGATTCTGAATTGTCTCGAATCACCTAGTACAGTGATTAGGGGTGCACCTACATCCTGGGAAGGTGTTTATTGACGTGGACAGGAACCAATTATGTACATGAGCCCTTGACCATCCTTGACCCATCTTGGCATGTTCGGCCTAGGAAGCCACTTCAATATTTCTGGAACGCAGAAAGGAAAAGGATCAATATCAGCAGCACTTTGTCTAGAAATTTTAATTGGTCTGTTCATGTTGAGCTAAGTCACCTTTTGCCCATGTGCTGAGTCACCATCTTTCCCACTACGCAAGCTCCCCTCTGCCCGTCAACGTCGACTTCAGCTGTGAGGACTTCCACCCCTGGCGCAGCTGGAGGAGACGGTTCGAACCAAGAAAATCTCACGTGGTGGGGAGCACCTCTATGCCCGACCGAAACCGTCGGCGTTCCGACCGAAACCTTCGTCACAGCCTGCGGTTCCGGCAAAAGATCCGGAGCAAGAATAAGCTACTAGTAACAAAGGGCATCGCTACTGGTAACTCAATTACTCAATCAAGAAGGAAACTGCTGGAAGAGTTGGAGTAAATTTAGTTTTGATTCTAATTCATTGTTTCTAGTAGCGTCCTTGCTCCTAGTAGCGATGCCAGGAGCCCCTAGTAGCGTCCTTGCTCCTTGTTATATCTCATGAATCTGTATATGTGCTCAATCCCTTACCCCACCACCGACAGCCCTCAAAAAAACCTGCGGGCGCCTTCAAGGCGCGTCGCAGTGGTTCACTTTGAGGTCCTCTATTTTGTGAGGCTTGCTCGATACTTCATCTATCGCAGACAACTTGCAACAAGTCTCCCACGCCCCTGCTGCCCTTCCAATCAATCAATGACAGGGGTTCAAGGAATCAGAGTCAGAAGTATCGCAAACAGGGAGGAGGCAGACACGCAGAACCAGCGAACCAAGACGAACTCACGTTCACCCGCTGAATTCATGCGAGAACAAAGACAGAACTGTGATAAGGTGTCCATTTCTGTGGAGATGTTTCTGGAACTTTCTCTGAAAGTTCTGCAACTAACCTAGGATGTTCTGCACCTGTATCCTTGAACTAATATCCGTAATGTTTCTAATCCTAGTTCCGCACCTAGAATTAGTTTAAAGTAATGCATCGATCATGTAGGCATATGTAGGCATGATAAAACCGACGTTAATTTGGTCCTTGCCACTGACTTTCCTGCATAAAGTATACTGTATCATTTGTATCGTGAAGGCATGACTCAGATGATTGGACTACAATGAATTGAGGTCTCGAGGCCTTCTCCATTTGCCAAGACTAGTGGAATCGCCGCCGTGCAAGCGAAGATGCCCCACTCTTGAGTACCGATGATGAAGATGCGGTCCAGAGAAGTTTCATCCACCAAAAGAAGGTGTGATACAGCCATCTTGGTGTAGCTCTACGCAACCCGCGAGACCAGAATAGGCACCCTCAAGGATCTGTAGCGGCACCCTCATCTGTGGCATTGGAGGGATCTAGGATGATTTGTGTATACGGTGGTTTTTAAACGTTCCAAATTTTGTCTTAACACTTCTTGGGAACCTCAAACCCGTATAGTAAGACTAAAGACCACTGGCTGAGTGTCTCCCCTTTTTGATACTGATGTTTTTTTTTCAAGAACACTTAGTCCAAAGGACGACGCTGATGGAACATATCACGTGAAACACATCGGATAAAGTATGGATCTCCCACTGCATAGAGTTCTATGTCGCAAATCCAGCTTTCTTTTTCCAGAAGGAACCTCAGAACACTCGCTTCTCGAGCAATGCGTAGATGGACACCCAACATCTTCAGATGTGGTCTGGGCTTTCTTCTTGAGAAGAGATCAGAGGAGCTTTGGTGCCGCCCTCCTGATCCTCCACATCTCACAGTGGCGCAGCGAATGCAGCCCTTCTTGGCCCGCCTGCGGAATGTGCCTTGGTTGCTGTACCCAGCCAAGAAAAACGTTGGGTTCAATCACCATCTTTTGGACATTCTGTGGATCAGTCAAGAACCAGTCCCACAACGTCATCCTTGGGTTTTATCAATTGAGGAGGACGTGGGTTTTATCAACAACCAGTCTCACGATCATTTCAATAGCTTTTGGGTATGGTTTGGTCCAGAGTCGATTCCTCGAGTTGCCAGCATAGTGAAGAAGACAGATTCACTACATGCATGAGGACTTGTGCATCAATAGACACCTCTGGAATGGTAGAATCAAGTAGATTTTCTTTTAACCAAGACTGCATGTGACCCCATGAGACTGACTTCAGCCCTGGCTGGTTGGCTTTCTAGCTTTTCGGGACTCATGTCCGGCCCGAAGTGCATGATGACCTAAGGATGTCCCAAGGGCCTCCCAGAAAGGGGGGCGAATGACCGTCCGACTGAACCAGTACTTTGGGTGCTGAACTGCTGAACCTCTGATGGTTGGTTCTTCACCGTTCGTCCTCCCCTGGTTGCCACAAGCACCGTCACGACCCGTCGCGACCTGTCGGCCTCTTCCCAAAGCCGGCCCCTCCCGCGAGGCCACGGACCAGGTCGCAGCCTCGATGCACTCCTGGTGGATCCGCCGCCGCGAGCGCGTGGCAGCGGACGTCCGAGAAGATGCACCGTCGACGCCGGCGCTGATCCAGGTGGGCGGATGGAGGATTTTCATCCCGAGCCAACGGGGTGTGATGGCAAGCGGTGGTTTTTGCGTGCTGCAATAGATTCGTATTTGGGGAGGATGAGAAGGAAGAAAGCGGGTGAAAGCAGACTTTCAGCTCCCATTTGTTCCTGATGCACATATCCAATTTCAGCTGCGAAGATCGTCCAATGGCACCCGATCTTCAGAAAACCTGGAAAATACAGAGATGTCTTAACGTATGCATATGCAAGATTGTAACATATTGTCTTACACCACTTGTAACATATTGTATACTTGTTTGAGCTTAGACTCAGACATTCTGTTCGACGAGGTGCCTGGATCCCAGCTGCTCCTGGCTGCCGACGTGGCCCGGCGCCGGAAGCACGAGCTGCTGTCGGCGCTGCGGCGCACACTGGACTTCTTGTGTGGCTCGGTTCCGAGAAGAACCGCATGACGTGGATAGAGTCAGCTGATTTCGCACCATGGATAGAGCCTTTGGTGTCAGCTCATCCGTTGGGCCCATTGGACGTCGGACACTCCCGGTCGGGCGCATGAGGCGCCCGATGCGCCGACCTGTTGGATGATATGATGTAATTGATGTAATGGTTCAAGGAGACAAACCATTTCATCCTCCCATTTTGTTGGAATGACATGACCTCAACGAATTCACCATGACCATCATGCCCTTCTTTTTGGGATGATCAACCACCTTACTACCACTCCCCAGGCCGCGTTCGAACGCGCCTCCGTTCAGGTGATGACGCGTGTGGCCTTTCGGATCCACCCAAGCTACGGATCACCTGACCACCACCGGGCCCCGAGACACCGGCGCCGCGCGCTCCTGACACCGTGGGCGCAAAAGGGGCGGGTGGGAGTGGGAGGTGTGGCGATGGAATGAATGAATGGGTCGAATGAGTCTTTGTTGCATATATATATAGATAGATGTAACAGGTTAAAATAAGGCACCGGGCACCATTCATAATCCGTAGAGGAGTCACAAGGGGAATTCCGCCTGAATGTTCCCAAATCTCCATGGATTCACTTAACCTTGCACGATCGGAAATCGAAACTCCGTGCAGAATGGATGTCAAATGTGTCGCTGAAGCATTTGAGCGGATTTCCGACAAGAGAGAGGACAAGATGATACATCGAGCAGTCCTGTTTTCCAGGCCACACCCGGAAACACTCGGCAAAGTACACGATCGGTCTGGGAGATTTGTGCCCAAAAGGTTGTTTGTGGGCTGCTGCACAGACGGAAAGGAGGCACGGGGCACTCAACAAATGTTCAGGGCATCTGAGAACTGCGTGACCTAAGAGTGACCACTGCGTGACCGAGTCCTAAACCAAGACGCAACGTCTAAAGGGGTTGACCAACCACAGGAATATGCTCTGAGCTAGGCTGCTCCAAACATCCACCAGCCCAGCCATGTCGGCCAGTGAGAAAAGCCTTCAGGCTGGATGTTCTGCCAAAAGATTGTTTTCCACTTGCATGTCAGTAAGTGTCCGTGTAGGTGACGGAAAACTAGAAAGATGCATTGTGACACGGTGTATGCTACCTCTCGTGTTGCAGGGTTTTGTGCCGAATGGTTGGGTTGTCCTTTTCTGGGGCGAACCAGAACACTCCAGAAATCTTCCTTTGCAGACTGTGGGCCCAAAGATGGCATCAATGAGCAACAGGAGCAAAGGGACCACCAACACATACCAAAACCAAAACAAACTTCCATCAACAGTAGGTGAACAAATGGATGTGCATCAGAACAGGAAGACCTGCCAAAGACTTCCTGGAAGAAAAACATATAATTAGAGAACACGTATGAATTGTGTAGTGAACTTAATCGTACAGCTGATGGTGAAGGATCCCAACTGCCCTAAGAAGGAGATCTGACGTTTTTCGAATGCCCCACTGCTCCGAAGAAAGGCCCGAAAGCGAGCGAGCTCGCCAGCGGCCAAAGGCGGCCCGCCCCACGCCGGTCGTCCACGGAACGTATCCTCCCTAAGTGGAACATGGCCCCGGGACGCCCCTGGAGGCCAGAGCACTTATTCTCCGACGAACGCATGGACATGGAATATGGATGAATATGGCCTTTGGGGTAGACGATTCTCCTCTAGAAATCCAGGGAAATCCACTTCCGGATGTGAGGATGAAACTCACCAGATGGAGATGTTGGGAACCATTTCTGAAAGTTGGGAAATCTGTTTCTTATTACTCTATTTTTTTTTGGGGGGGGTAGGCCGCTAGAAGAGATGAGGTAGCTAGGTAGAAGTAGAGGTAGCTAGTAGAAGCTACGTGGACCTAGTACCTACAAGTAAGCTACATATCACTTAATATGGACGCAGGATAGCTCACGCTTCTTTTAGGAAGCTCCCCGCGGCGCCCTTGAAGAGTCGCTCGCACTAGTAGAAATGCCCTTGTTCCTTGTAGCTTCTTGTTCCTAGTAGTAAGGCCGGAGCCCCTAGTAGCGTCCTTGTTCCTAGATTTTGAGGGAACGCCATTTCTGAATGTAACCGTCTACATGAAAGGTGGCCTGGCTGAGTCTTCAGCAGCAGTCAATGGACCATACGTGTTCCAAGGAGTGCACCCTTCTCCTAAATAGTCACCTGTTCCGCAGTCACTGGGCCCCTATGCGCAGCATACCATACGCACGGCTGCGTGCTGCGTGTGCTCGTTCGAATCCACTTTGAATGGTTCGACGAGTCGGATCTTTCATAGGCTTCCATTGATGGATCCTCAGGGATGCTCGGATGCTCCGGAGGTCGGATCTCCCACCCAGCCAAATGGGTCGAATCACAAGGAAGGTGCTGTTCAGGCCCTTTTTAGGCAAAGCCTCTGGATGGTGCGGCCGTTGTAAGAGAGGCTCAATGAATTGCAAGTTGGTAGAGCTACAGGTTGCCGGGTAGCTTGACGCTTGACTCTTCTCTTCCACCCGTCTACTTTGGGTGCCCATCGTTCTTTTTCAGACGAGAAAGGCATCGGCAAACATGGCCGAACGGATTTTGTGGTGGAAGGATTTTTTTGGTCTTCTATTTTTTTGAAGGGACCGAACGGATGCTTTTTCCCATGCTCCAGGCCAAGCAGACCCTAAAGCCAAAGCTGCTGCAAAGGGTCCTAATAAGGGTGCCTTGGCTCGCGGACCACAACGACTTGTGACGTGAAGACAAATGTTTTTGCTTTTCCAGGCTGAATTCTGCAGGCCCTTCAGAAGCTGAATTCATGGGGTCTCAAATGGACGGTCATCTTCCCGGGAAGATACGAGGCGGTACTGGACCACTTCGCAGACGGGTGTATTTTGGGGTGTTTTTCCACCAAGTTTCCAAGTTCACGGCTGCAGAACGCGGAGTTTTTCGATGTGCCGCCAGCCCGATCACCATGATCATGCATGGCCTGCAAAGCATTTGCTCGTAGCTCGGGGATGCCCTCAGTAAGTTCGGGGGAGATGAACCCAGCAAGCAGCAAGCAGCATAAGATATCTCACCAGTTCTTTTATAGGATTTGACACTGTGTTTGGATGTGTGTGGGCTTTCTTGGGCGTGACCTCTTTGGTTTTTTTGGGGTCAGAAATCTCTGCCCGCATCCTCCATCCCAAGCGTGACTGGACTACGCACAGTCGTGTCAGCTGCACTGGCTGATGGTCCGAGGTGGTAAAGAGGTTGACCAGACGGAGATTCAACAGCTGTCTGATGTGGTGGAAGGCGAACCGCGGTCGGCGATGTGACATTCCTTGAGAACGATAGAAAATGTTCTGCCGGCGGAACTGGAAGGACTTGCCGCGCAAAAGAAACGGGTCCTGAGTCCTATGTGGTATCCCATCTCTACAAAAGAGAGAGAGAGAGATCATAACAGGAGGGGCATTTGGTCTAGGGGACACTGCAGACACGCCCCAAACTTCTGCGGTGTCCGCGCTTTTGGGAACTTGGGCCTCCGGGTCCAAGAACGTTCTCCAGCGGACCCCACCGGGTGGGGCTGTTCGGACCGGACGCCGCTCCAGGCTTTCCACCGCAGTTGTGTGCCTTGGCCTTGGGCTCCGCAGGGCTGGCTCGCGCCTGGGTGGTGAGCGACGCTCTGCTGCTGCCGCGGCTCTTGTGTTTGGTGCGGCTGCCCAGTGCGGAAGTGCGGTGCCAGGAGGCGACAGGTCATGAACCTACAAATCATACATTATATACATAAGATGTTATGATATTTAGTATATATATATGGATATGTTATGTATTCATACATCTTAAAGGCAAAGGACAATTGCGGCAATGATTTTTCACACGTATCCTGCAAACGTTTGCTCTTAGTCGTTCCAATTACTCGGCCCATGATGGTCTCTGGGAGGGTGTGCTGAAACAGTTGTCACTGGCATGTGCTTCCTGTGCCTTCCTTGTTCGATTTACAATGGTTTCCGGAGTAGATTGAGTTGATCACCAAAGATGTCTATCAGATAGGGGCCCATGTAAACCAAACGTGGGGATTGTGCCATCTACTCTAAACCTCTCTCAACCCTCTATGCATTTTTTCTTGGCCTCGCAAACAACACCGGTTCACCGGAGGTGAGACAACTCAGACTCTGGGGACGCAAAAGTAGGACGGTGAAACACGGTGAAAACCATTCATGAAGACCTCGTGCTAGCATAACAGTAACAGTGTGAGCATTCAGTAACAGTGAAACCGTTCCTTCATGACCTTCATGAAACTGTTACTGAACTTAGTTGGTTCAGCACTCGCGTTGCGGCACTCGTACCTGCGCGTGCTGGCACTCAGAAGTTGCGTTGCAGCACTCTGTTTTGTAGGGACACCCCAATGCGATTTTTTGCGTTGAACAAATGCATTTGGGAATTGGTTTTGGGTAGTAGAGTGCCAGAAGTAAAGTCTGAGCGAGCAGCCATGTCGGCCCTAACACCGGAACAGGTTCTGTTGCTGCGCCATGCAGGCCACTCTGTTGGGGAGGAGTGGCGGCATGTGAAATTTCCTGCTCGGGGCGTGAGCGAGCAACAGAGCAAGCTTGTGAAGGCATGGTTCCTGTATGTGCAGAGTGGCAACTCCAAGCCATTTTGGGTTTGTTCGAAGTGCCCTTGGCAGAACTCCATGAGAGGCTTGACCCGCCCATTGGAACACATGTGCTTTAAAGGAATTTCGCTGAAAGAGAGCTCGTACATCGAATTGCACAAGCTCAAGAAGACGTCGGACATTCCCCTACCCTACAGGGAATGGCTGGTTGCTTACAAGAAGCAGGGAAACAAAACGTCTGGTTGCAAGGAAGCAGCGACCAAAGACCAGATCCTCAATTGGGCTGCTTTGGGTATTCCTGCAGCTGTGCAGTGGGCCATTTTCAACCATTGGGTGCCAATAGATTACAAGCCATGTGGAGTTGAACGACCAGAAGAGCGGGTGCCAATCTCCAATGAGGAGGCCACTCGGAGACAGGTTGTAGCCTTTGTTTGCTCAGGTGTCGCCATGAATGCCGGCAATGGGTCACACTGGGAGAACTTTTTGCGTTACATAGCTCCTGATGTGAATCACCCAGGCAGGACCTTTTGCAATCATGCCTCGGTGTTCCAAATGCTGTTTTTCATCTTGAAAGAATGCATTTGGGTTGCTTGCTCCAAGTTCATCCTTCCATATCCTCAATGCGTTTTTTCAACCTCAGAAAGCACTGTGGATTTTTTTTGTCTGATTTCACCCTTCTATGTCCCAAATGCGTTTTTTGAACTGGTTGCATTGCATCGGAGTGAGCGCCCGCAGGCCGAAAGAAGCTCGACTCTGCCTTGTGCTCGCTACATGAAGAATTGGAGGAAAAGATCACAGCGCGACTGCAGGACCCAGCACATGGTCCTTGGTTTCTATCTTCTGATGGTGCCACGAACCGAGGGGATGCATTGGTGACAGTCGATGC